TAAGAGCGCTTTCAGCGTAACCATGTTCGTGCAAAAACCTTGAAAATACAGAAGCCCTGGCGATTCATTCTTGCTTGAAAGATTGCTTATGTTGCAGGGGAATGTCATGATTTTACTAAACATCACGTCTCGAGTTTCTGGAAGCTCAAAGAAAAAGTATATAATTCATTTCCTGATTATGAAAAGAGGGGAAGAATATGATTTTATAGTTTACATGAAGATTATTTGAAATCCTTAAACAACACCAGAGGGTTTGTACTGATTTTGATGCAGTGTTTTTCTGGCAAATGTAAAGACTTAGTTTATCAGGAGAAAACTGTTATGTCAAATGCATGGCGTATAGGTCTAAAATTGAGTGTATTTTGAAGTAATGCATAACAAAATATTTGCATATTCTCTGCTCTCTCCCACTATGAACATGTAGTCATCAATTGCGTTCATAGGACTATAGACGCAACTGCAGCTACTATGAGTGCAATTGCTCCATCACACTCGTGTAGAACAATCTCCACTATTGCTATATAACGTGTTGAGAAGTATATATATGAAATGTTTCATAGGAGGAATAAAAATGAGTTTTTAATAATATTCTTTGAAAAAAAGGAAATTCAGAATATTTAAAATTGCTGATTTATATCTTAAAAAATTCAATTTTGGTCAATGTATTTAATTGTATCATAAAACTTTTTTAAAATTGTAGAGAACTGCCCTATTTTTATTTTTTGTGTCATGCATATTTGAACAAAGAACGATAACTCTTCACACTTGGGTAATAACATTCAGAAAGAGAAAATTCCTATTTCAAAAATGATTTTAGCTATTAAAAATAAATAGAAAAACTAAAAAAAATATAGAAAAGCATTCTTGAGTAATAATCATTATAAAAGCATTCTCATTTTTCATCATAGTGTTAAATTATATGTTGATTTTTGTCAGAGGGTTTTAATAACGTTGATCGATGACGTCACAACTGCATCAAAACAAAAATGTGATGACGGCGCTGCTTGTATCCATATAACTGTGTTTAAGAGGGAAATACTTTATAAATATGTTTGTGATTTATTAGAGAAAAGGAGCATTAATCAGGTTTACTGATTCTAAAGCCGTATGTTTTTCTTTACTGAAGACAAGAAGCTGCGTCATTATGTAAGTCAGGATTTCCTCTGATGTTCTCGAAAAAAAAAATCAAAGAATGCAAATATAAGTAATAAACAACGATTATTCAGTGAACATGGCATTATGAATAGCAATAGCTCTGCTGGCATATTTTTCCATGATGCGCTAGCGCGCATCATGGAATATGCCAGCAGAGCAATTGCTATTCATAATGCCATGTTCACTGAATAACGTTGTTTATTTCTTAAATAAGTGTTTTGCGTAACTTATAATATAACATTGTTAAGAAAAAAAAGACTTTTTATCCATTTTTTTTTCAAATATATTTAGATTGTTATTAGGCATTTGATTTCAATCTGAATTTAATAAGGAAGTATTTCGTATACATCCAGAAAACAAAGAAATGTCATTGAAGATGACTGATAAACAAGAGATCCTTACTACTTCAAGGTTCTTTGTGCTACCCACTATCGATGTATGATGCATGTACGCATGAATTAGCATGTATTTGCATATTGGATAAGAAGGTAGGAATTTTGAAACCGAAAAGAAAAGGTATGGTAGCGGCCAAATCTGGCCCCTTATTTGATTTAAAAATCACAACACAGTTCAAAGTGTGATTGTTCGTTGTTAAGAAGTAAAAGCGATGCTTGTTTCAAAAGCAGCACTAATTTTGATTCAAAGATAACACAGACAGTTGTAATGAAATTAATTTTTATTTATAAAGCACATTTTTACAACAACACTTCTATTCTCAATGACCGTGTAGTGTAGGGCAGCGACGCGAGAATTCCATCGGCATCGAAAGCAAGTTTTTTGACTTGCCTAGATAGCCGAGTGGTCTAGCGCGCTGTTCCTGCACTGCTAGGAGACAGATTCCGAAGGTCGAGAGTTCAAACCCCGGGCTGGGGCGGAAGTTGGTATCCATGTAAAAGTGCTTTATATATATATATATATATATATATATATATATATATATATATATATATATATATATATATATATACATAAGAATAATAGATTTTTAAATCAAATAAGGGGCCAGATTGATTTCATATTTACATAAGAAATACAAATGTGAAATATAAAACCCTAGCACCGCCTGTCCAAAGATTTTGACCAAGGTAAACGTTTTTAAAGGTAGGACAAAAACCGGGGTAAAGATCAAAGGGTCAAGGTTGTTGGTTTCTAAAACTAGGCTTTGTCTCAACGATTACTATGGGAAGTATGAAAGTACCGGCCCTTGCCATTCAAAAGTTATGGCAAGGTTAAAGTTTGTAAAACGTAGGATAACCCCAAGGTCAAAGTTGTCGATATCCAATGAAAGGTCTTCTCACAATCATTACAAATATGAAGTAAGAAAGTCCTAGCTCTTATCGTTCAAAAGTTATGGTCAAAGTTAAAGTTTTTCATAAGTACGGAAATCTCCAAAGTCAAAATTTTGGATTTCAAATGAAAGGTCTCGTCACAAAAATATATTTGAAATATGAAATTCCTAGTATTTATCGTTGAAAAATTTAAAGTGAATTGAATTTAAAAGTAAAGTTTGAATTTTTCGTGTAAAAATAGGTGAAACTCAAAGGTCAAGGACAAAGGGTCAAGGTTCCTGATATAAAATGAAAGGTTTTGTCACAAGGATTAGATATGTGAAGTTTGAAAACCCAAGTCCTAACCCTTCATAAATTATGGAGAAGATTGCATTTTATAAGGAACTCAAACTCCATGGTCAAGGCCAAAGAGTCAAAGTTTTTGGTATCCAATAAAGCGTCTTCTCACAAGAATTACATATGTGAAGTATGAAGGCCCTAGCCCTTACCCTTCAAAAGTTATGGCCAAAGTTGAAGTTTTTTCATAAGTTCAGAAATCGCCAAGGTCAAGGTCAAAACGTCAAAGTTAGTGGTACTCAATGAAAGGTCTCGCAACAAAAAATACATGTATGAAACATAAAAGTCTTGGTATCAAGAGTTCAAAAGATATGACCAAAGTAAAAGAAATTTTGTTTGAAAATGGGTCAAACTCCGAGGTCAAGGTCAAAAGGTCAAATTTGGTGATAACCAAAGAAAAGTCTTTTCACAAGGAATACACATGTGAAATATGAAATTCACAGCTCCACTAAATCAAAAGTTATGGGCAAGGTTAAAGTTTTTGCGGAGAAACAGACAGACAGACACGACAAAAACTATATATCCGCGAAACTTCATTTACGGGGGCATAAAAACACCCCGAAATCATGAGATAAAAAGAATACTTTAATTTTGTTTTAAAGGTCATTAAAATGTTATGATAGGACAGCCTGAAGGGTTTGCTATGAATTTATTTCATCTCTGATTAATATTTCCTCTGCAACTGGTTTGTAAAGTTTATTTGGGAATTGTAGGCAACATTGATATATTTCCTTTTTCGGAGACAGAAAAGCAAAAGTTATACCCTCTTTTTCCTTTTTCGTTAAAATGACTGTTTAAATTATCTTTTAGATTACCTATAAATTAGTACAACCTATATATACCATCGGCTCATGCATTCACCTTTGTCGTCGCATCGCATATACCACCGTGTTTGGCTCAGAAAATAGTTTGTTTCAATTCATAATGATTAGAACATGAATATTATATTTTTGCAAAGTAGATCTTAAATTTTGTTTTTTGAGATAAAGTACAGACTTTTTTCCTTTTGACGCCAGCCATTCCAGAGGTATCTGAAAGAGGAACAAACGACAACTCTGCATGTCAGATTGACAAATTACGTCCCAATTCACAAACACAAAGCAACATTTCTAAAGATTTATTGAGAAATCTCGTTAATCATATTCAAATTTGAAGGTACCTTTCATTCACGAGATCGTGACCTTACGCATAGAATATATAGAGATAACAAACAGTATTCAAGTTCAAAAGTCCATTAAGCAATACAATAAGGTTAACGTATTCTATCCCTAATGGGAACAAATTCAATGAAATTGAATACATATAGATATTTAGACATTGAATACTCAGTTTATTTAGACATACTTCCCATTTATTACCATGAGTATGTATAGTGGAATGTGTTCTAATTTATTGCCTTGAATCTTAGTAAGAGTTATCTCCTCTTTTTTTTAATTAATAAAAAAACCAAATAAAAATTTTTATTCTATTTTCATTGTTTCAATGCATCTTTCCAAAGCAGGATTTATTGATATTCAATATATTTGAAATTTTATTTTGAAAAAAAAACGCTTTTCTACATAGACTTCAATGCAATCTTTGTTAATTAACTACCGCTTAGTTAATAATTTTTTTAAACTTTCTCGTGGGCAATCCTTTTCTACTATAAAATGCTTTAATATGATATCAGAGTATCATGTACTTAATGGACATTTAAGGGTAGATTTTTTGGTCCTATTAGGGATGGAAATCCTTAACTGCAATAATTACAAAATTTACAATCAACGATTGATGTTTTTGGACTTTCAAAGAAACATAATCAAAATTGCCTTGAAAAAAGAAAACATGCTTTCCCTGTTGTGTTTTCAAGAATGGAGAATCTTTATTTCAATTAAACCAAAAAAAGATAATATTTATGTGTTTTGTTATGCAGTTGAAAAAGTTATCAACATAAAGTATTCATTTGAAAATGCATCAGTTATTTCATATAACCAATGTAGTAGTAATACAAATATTAGCAAAAAAAATATAATTACATGAAAGTAATTATTCTAATTTCAAGCCAGTTAAACAATAAAAGGCGTTGCTACTTTTGATTTAATGCACGTTAGTCATTAGATGAACACAGATGTTATCGCAATATAATAAAAAATAGATACTATAGTTTTTGAATTGCAAATCAAATCAACTTTTGGTCTTCATACAAGTAATTTTCCCTTAAAAGTCATGAACATTTCATTCCAGAATGTTGTCATTGGTTGCTATAAATATTTTCCTCTGATGTTTCCTCTTGTACCCGGATGTAGTCCAGAACAACATTGTAGATCATCATATACTCCTCCTTAATAAACAGAAAAAACATTAAAAGATTTCAATTTGACCAGCATATAAATGTATTATTTCTAAATGCATAATCAGATAAGAAATCAACAATGTATGGCATCAAATGTATACGGGAGATGTATATATTTATATAAGAAGAAACAATAAAAATGATCAAAAATATATCTGAGAATGACAACACACATTATTGCAGAATGAAGCTTCAAAAAGGAAATCAATAATGCACTGTATCAAAAGTTAAGGATATACGATCCTCAGCCAGGAAGGATAGCTCAAAAATTAGTATTTGATTTGAAATGCATGAAAATGAAGCTTTAAAATGAAATTTTTTCATGCAACAATTTTCATTTTATTCATCTTTATAAGATGCAAGTTCATTGGGAGTCTTAGAATGGGTCTTATAAAAGTTTATATCTGTACCATATAAAAGGAGAAAAAATTAATACAGTTTTAGAGACATAAGATTTTCTTGAATACAGCCTTACATACCCATGATTATTACATGTAGCGTGATATGAAATGAGATGGATTTGTGGCGTCTTGCAATGATAGCAAAAGCCTTTTACACTGTGTATTATTTCTATTAGCATATTTCTAATCCTTTACTAAATGTAAATTGAAAAATATAAAATTTCAAATGTTTATTTTCAATTATGGCTTCATAATTATACTTGGAATGGAGACCCGGAGCACCACAAAATTTAAATTATCACTTTATAAATTTCATTTGTATTTTATAAAATTCTGCGGAAATCTGGATGAATTTTACATTATGAAGTTGACAGAAGCTATCACGTCTAACATTCAAAATTTGAAAGTTGAAAGTTGTAAAATGGCTGAGCAATCAAAGTTAGAACTTATTAAGACAGAATAGAATTGTTCCAAAAAAAGGACGTTTTCGGAATAGGTGGAGCAGTGAGCAGTGATAAAATTCTGCTTAGACATCGGATAAACACCTATAGAGACCAATACATTTTGTAAACAATCGGGAAAACATAGTAAAAGAAGCTGTCATTAGTATTTAAGTGGCATATAATATTTTCGGACTGAAGGAACAGTTTATAGGATTACATGCGTGAAGGAAAACCATCATTCCGAGATTGCAGTGCTGTAAAAATGACTTTCATAACGTGACTTAACCGTATTTCCGCAAATAAAATCGTTTTTACGTGGACAGAGGTTGGATGATTACAGGATATGAGACAGGCATTGTTAAATACATTATTTTACGTGTAAAACCTGAACATCTTGTTCACATATTTATGAGTGGTTTTAGCGACATAAGAAATGTATTGAGTTAAACGGTGACTATGTTGAGAAAAGTTACATGCACAGTTATGCTTTTGACGTCGGATAACGTCAAGAATTTTCATTTTAATGATCCGGGTATGAGTGTATGTCCTTTTTTAATCTCATGAAATTGTGGTTTGTTTTTGTTGAAAACTTGCATGTTAATAAAATGAAACATGGATTGAATGAAAATAATAGTTTTTCAAATATATTATCAATGTTTGTCAGTAATTATTAATGTTGTCCACGAACTTTACGGACAACCCTCGTAGAATACATGACGGAAATAGAACACAAAAAGTACCAAATAAGTATGAAAATCATGAGTATTTCTCTGAATGTCTGGATACCTATCGTTTTTTAACCTAAAATATATTTCCTGATCAATATACAATTAGAAAATGCAATCCTAATATTCCAATTTGCTTTTTCTGAAAAAATATTGGAGATTTGACAATTTGCCCTATATAATATGATTAACTTTATTCTATAACTTTAAAGAAATATTGTGGATAAATTTACATAACTTTGTAGATTCAGAGATACTTTTATGAGTATTTTTGATTACTTAACTGCTTATTTTATATACCTGAGGATCGGACTACCTTTAGAGGTTAGGCGATGTATTTATTTAAAAGGTTACCAGAGTGGAGCAGAGTTCCGGTCGCCTTATCTGTAGCTGACGGACGGCAGTAAAAATGTCCACCTCCCCGTCCATAGACAACTGTTGTAGTGTGTTAAAGACAGCACAGAATACTCCACAAAGAGCTGCACCGTCACTGATAATTAAAAAATATCAATATCCATAGACATCTGTTGTAGTCCGTTAAACACGGTACAAAATACACCACATAGGGCTGCCCCGTCACTGATAATTAAACATCTGTTATAATGTGTTAAGCACAGAACAGAAACACGGCAACTCCGTATAGGGCTGCTCCATTATTGATAATCTAAAATATTTCAATATCCGTATATAATTGTTGTTTTTACTGAATATTCATTAAGTTAGGATATAAATGTGCCTGCACTTTTTATGCATACATTCCATTATAAGAGACACATATTTGGACGTGATAAAACGAAATCGCGTTAAGGTTGGTTTTTTTTTGTTTATTGTCCCATAATAAATTTTCATTTGCGATGTCTTTCGATGTTTTACGATTTATTTTCTTTACCTGCTGACTACTGTAATGGGGCCCTCAGTTTTACTTTGAAGTGCAGATGAAACTAAATGTAACATCTGTATTGTCGCCTGTGAGTTTTCTGCTTTTTTCAAGCTTCCTTTTGGTTCTGAAATCGACACGGAACATCCCTCGTCATTTGCCTAGTGAAAGAGAGAGAGAGCGACAACTTAAACGGATGCTTCAAAATCTATGGAGTTACAAACATATTTCAAAATGTAAACGTACCAGTTCATTACCTACCCCTTCTTGGATAATGTTGATTGTTGAAAATTTGATATCTGTGACTTGTTCCTGTCCACAATTTACCGTGAATGGAGAGACGGATTTTTTACTGTTGGCAGCCGGTAGCCACATCTTTGTCTACATATGACAGTGATAATCAAAATGAACATTAACTTATTTGTAAACATTTGTATGACTGAAATCAAGTTATAAGATTTAAATACTCACTGATTCAACTCTTGCTAGGGGGTCCATACATATGACAACATCTGATTCGTGGTCAGTGAGCAGGCGCAGAAAATCTACAGCGTCCCCTGCTTGGGGATAAGGTGTTATTATAAATGCCTTGTTCATGGTGTAGGACTGAAAAAGAGAAATAAGCTAAGTCAATATAAGAGCATTTTTTTGTAAATCACACTCTACATAACTTCGCTTACATGTATCATTCATTGCAAATATGGTTTAATTTTTCAGCACTGTAGATATTAATTAATATTGATACTTATGAGAAGTTATTTTTTTCCGACAGATTGCATGCATTTGAAGTACTTTCATTCAGATATCGATAGGATTGATTTAGTTGTTATGTACTTTTATTTCTTACAATTAAAACTCATTTTAATCAATTGCTAAGCAAAATAAACATTTACATACAGGAAGTGTAATGGCATTGATGTAGTTCCCGCGTTTTGGTACACTTGATGACAGGAACAGGCGATACTTGTCAACTAGAATTGAGAAGTTTTACTTTGTATAGAACCACATCTCTGAGTAAGTGCATAACTCAAAAGATTATACTCAATTAACAAAAAATAAATGAAGCAGCATCTTTGTTACCGAATTGGTTGATGCACTGTAATGGCGACAAGTTAAAATATTGACAAGTTTACATGTTCACCAGTCCTCTGCTATACATGAACAGATTTCTTTTTATATTGCCGAGAACACTGTATACTGATCTTGAAAAGGGGAATATTCTTAAATTTACACAGGGAAAATAGTGTTTACTTATTTTCCTTTGTAGCCTAAGAAGCAAATTAAAAAAAAAATATTTTTCATCGTTAACTTTATGGCAAACAAGACAAACAAGCTTTTCTTTTGTCAACTTTCCTATGTTAACAATTCCATATTCCGTTCATATGCAGGGTGCAAAATTTGGGGTTTTATGGTTCAACATTTGCATATAAACTATCAATCTGAGAGAACCGTTATGCATATAATAAGTAAATGCATATGTAGTATTTTCATTAACGTATGGATAACTTACGTGGAAGAACACCTAGTTTACTTCCGCTGCTCTCTATAGCAAATTTGTAGGCTGCTTCCGTGTATCTGGGCCTCACTCTTAGGAGATTCTAAATATGTAAGTTAAAGACAGATGATTCATTTTTTCATGAAAACCAAATTAAAATCATGTTTGAACAAGCAAAAAAGCATAGATTAATATTTTTAAATTCGAAATTGAATAAGAATGAGATTTAAAGTAGTGAAATAGAATAAAACGGACAAAAACAAAGAAAGGTTTCAATTTCTTAAAAATATAGATATCTATCTCAAAATTTTCTACAAAAATAAGTGTAAACATAAATTAATCAAGTCAACTATATCTTCGGGGTTCTTTAAGCTTTGATTTTAATTGACCTATAGCTATACATGGAACCAAACTAAAAATAAATACTGTCCAGTTTGTTTTAGTAGACGTAAAACTAATTTAAAAATTGTAAAAACAATAACGTTAAAAGAACCTGGAACTCTTTTCTTAGTTCGCTTTCGTTGGCTGGTTTATCCAGGATCATTAACTCTGCCTTCCTTGTAAATTCAGGTTTGGTGAGGACACATGTTGGAGCTTTGAACACTGCTTCAAGCGCGAGAAAAATAGTCTTATACTGCTCCTGTAACGTCCACATACCAAACACCAAAATCAGAATTAGCATAGTTCATTAATTCAACATGCATTTTAATGAGTTATATTTTCTTTTTTTAAAGAATGTGCTTTCGGGTATGAGCATGTTAACAAACCCTTTTCCTTTGTAATTGGAAAATTTAATAATATTCTGTTTTGCTCCATTGAAATACTAAGGCTTGTAAAGTACATGTAACATGCAATTGCAATGAATTTGTCAGAAGTGTTTCAGAATTATGAAGGTAGAGAAATAAAGCAGAATAATGTGTCTGTAATGTTTTATAATTATTCAATTTAAATATTCAAAATTTTCTCTTGGTATATGCTACACTGTACGTTTCAATGATTTTTTCTTAAAAAGTAAAAACAATAACATATAAATGCAGTGGTTTGTACGAACTTTGACATTTTTATTTTAAGAAATTATAAAAAAAATTTCCTAAGTTATAAGATCGATTAATGTTTGCTTTAAAATAATTATTAATCTTTGGAGTCATGATTAAAATTAACAATATTTACATTGCTATAGTTGTTGCAATGGGGACAGATAAAACGAAATGATTATCTCAAACTTCAATTTCGTTTGGAATTTACATACGTAAGTTTGGACCATGTTCATTCTGCCTTCCCTCATTTTCTTGACGTATTCCGCGATGTTGACTTTCCTCTCTGATTTTCCCGGTTTGTATAAAGCGTCTAATGCAATATAAGTCCCAGTGCGCCCTATCCCCGCGCTAAGGTCATCAGGGTGAAACAAAAAGACACTTTTAAACGATGTTCTTTCTTCAAAGATACTTTATGATCTATTTCAAAATGTTTTAAAGTCATTTTTTTCATTATAAGATTATATTACATTACTTTACAATATAAGATTAATAAGCACTTTATATAAGAAATTCCAAAGAAACATTTTTTTTTCTTCAGCACAATGAAAATGTACGGTAAACAATATCAATTAAATATAAATAACCTGCAATGAACTAATTTGGGGCCAGTATTTTGTTGATCCGTCGTCCTTGTCACGTGATCATGGAATACTACAAGACAGAGCGGTTCCGGAATCCCATGATCCGGCCAGGCAGTGTAGTGGTACTGGGTCACAATGCGAGATTTTTTATGCTGATGATAAAAGATGAATTCGATTGCCTTATGTTATTATTTAATAATTGACGGCGTTAAACCCTCAACAAGAAATATAGCATATATTCATATTTAATAAATTAATATGTAATTTTCTTTTTCACATGAGTTTCATGCTCTTCAAAAATGATATCTTTACTGCTTTGATTTGCAATATTTACCAAACACTGTGATGCCAATTCATTAAATTTTAATTTATATGTTGCTCACTTAAAATGTCATATTGTATTGCTTAATGCAAAAACTACATGAAGAATTCCATAAAAAAATTTTATTTGAATAAAGGTTTCAATAAAGGTTTCATTCATCATTGACCATAAAAATATAATTACAAAAATCAATAAAATGAAAACTTTTTATGGACAGTTTCATCCCTTGTTTTCAATCTTATTTTTTTTTAAAGTATTTCAGAATGTATTGTACGAGGGTTGTTCGAAAAGTTCGTGGACGATATCAATCTTCGTTATATCACTTATTAGAAATTTAAAATAAGCACAATATAATATGTAAAAATATTTGTTTTGTTGGTGTGTGAATTTTCATTCCATTCGATTTAACAGAAATCAATTTACTACATTTTAAAATCAACATGTTTTTAAGGGCGGAACACACTTAACGGCAATGTATCGTCAAAGCCTAGCGTCAAGAATTTCTAAAAAAAAATTATCTCTACATATTTCACACTGTATAATCCAATGCCCACTCATTAAATCCTTTTTCTAATACTTGAAATATATTTTAAGAATTGCTCTCGATGTATAATTCCCTTTGATAAGGTTTTAATTTCTTTTATTACGTTACTCTGCTTTAAGAGGATACGCAGCTCTGAAGCGTCTATGTCTTTCCTTGACGTTCCAACTTTTTAAAGTTTCTGCTCAGATTTTTACACCGTATCTTCGCAGATTGTCCTTATCAGATACAGAGTCTCTGTCACTCGAATGCTGCCTATATTAACTATTTTTATACATATGCACAACTCGCTTGTGACATATTTTCTTGATTCCTCAAACATGTTTAGAGTTCATTCAGGGTTTTTCCTGGGTAAAACACAAAATTGCATCGTTTTCTGCTGCTCCGTGATGTTCTAAAACGTCATCATTTTTGTCGTTTTTAAGAAGGAATACCTATCTTCTCAAGTTGATTTCTTTTCAACAAAGCAAAATCTAAAGCCATAATTTGGTATACGAATCGATGTAACAATTCTTAATTTGAATTTTTAAGTTTTCTTTTCGTTTTTGTTCCACTTTACAGAGAATATGACTACAGACATTATATAGTGTATTGTTTGAAACTTACTAAATTTTGACCTGCTCCGCGATCCGATTTTTTCAGTTTTAAAATCTTGATAAGTTTTGAATAAATCGTAATATTTTTTTTTTAAATTAATATGAATCATTTGGATTTATTGTAAAAATATTTCTACCAAATTTGGATAACATATGACGTCAAACAAAAAAGATATGACAGCTGTCCACAAACTTTTCGAACAACCCTCGTATATATTATTTCATATCTAAATATAAGACAAGCACTTAATAAGTACTTACCACTTTATGGGTTACTCTAAATTTCCGGATTTTATAATTGGCGTAGATTTGCTCCTCTTCCGCCAGTAACGAGATGACACCGAATGTTGTAGACTGATACAGATCTGGCCAGTATTTGGAACATTTCGCCTGATTTATAAATGATTTTTTTTTTTTTGTAAATTGAATAAATGAATAATTTTCAATTAAACAATTGAACTTTTATGTCTCGAACATCCATATCTCAAATATCAGGGATATGCAAGAGAGAGTTGGAAGTCCTTATGATTTGTTCGTATTAAATTTTGAGTATGATTTTTAATACGATTCTTAAATATCAAAGGTTGCTTGTGTCTTATCGAGTTCAAATGAATGAGGTTTATCGTTATCAGATTTTGTTCAACAAATCTTTGAACATATTTTGTTAACAAAATGTGCAGAAAAAAAACCCTACCTTACTGCTTTCTTTGAGGTTGGTCAGCATGATTATTTGGGCAACATTTTCCTGCCATATCATGGTCCAAAAGTCCTTTATGGTGTTCTGTCGAGGTCCTGTACAAAGAAACAATTATGTTAACACGATTACCTATTGTATTATCATTGTTAAGCAGTATAATATGTCAACACAAAGACAATGGAAATATAAATAAGCAGGTGCCCGTTTTATAAAAGAACTTAATCTTGAATTACATTTTGCTTATAACATCATATGTGTACTAAACGCTTATTATCTTTTTAAAAGATATTTTAAGAAATGTTTACAATCACAATTTTAAATAGAATAATAAATTTAAAAGAATTACAACAAGTGGCAATTTCTTTTGTAAAAAGTACTCCAAAAGTTTCGTACCTTGTGCTGCAATAAATTCTTTTGACTTGGCAATGCCCTGAAAATAAAAGGAGAATTTTCGGCAATGAAAAGTATTGAAATTTAACTGCTATTACATTTTTTTCTTCAAATAAAATACTAAATTGATTGAAGAGGATTATGATTGACCCTAGAATATTCATATATGGCAATGTTGCATAACATTAATCCTGCTTTTCTTTTCAAAGACATTCTGTGCTTAATTATATTTATTCTAAAAAAGTATTTCGAAAACATAAAATGATAAAATTACAATACCCTTTATAAGGTTTGAATATCCTTAATAATTTAATAAAAAAAACATACATTCAATCAGCTGCCAAAATATGGCCGAAATATTGTCGAGTTGGCGTAAAACAACAATTATAATCAATCATATATATTCAGTGGGATAAAGTTCCATTTAATCCTACTTACGTCAATATAATTAGCATTGATGTAGTCAGACTGGCTATCTGACAATATGATTCTTGAATGGTCATCTGGAAATAATCATTTATAATTATCAATTATTAGAATTAAAGCAGAATGCAAATTCTTGACGAAATCTTTAAGTGCGGATTTCATGATGTCAATATTGACATATTGTCTTAGCACCATTAATTTTAACAGGCATTATTGACATTGTTTCGAAAATGCCTATTTCCACATAGATTCATCTAAAGGAACAACATGAGGAATGGTTTAACATACATGGAAATGTGGTCTTGAATCTGTTTTTCGGCACGTTTTCTGGCAGCTTTCCAGCATCACAAGCGTACTTCTCACCATATGGCATGGCCTGTTGAACAAATCATTATACACTGTACTTTCATCAGTTGCATCTCTTTCCTAAATGTATATAATTCATATTTTAAAATTTTCCTTACAGCATATTCCCTTTTAAAACCATCGTCTTCATTTTTCCTTTTCTCCTTTATTACATTCTCCAATTTTTCAATATCTATATCTGGGATTGTTTCCTCATTTAAATAGAAATCTCCATATGGATTTTCGTCATGTAATTTTTCGTCGTTGTCAATATCATCTTCGCGCTCATTGTTTCCTGATCTGACATCTTGACCCGTTTTTTTGGAATTTTCGGAATTTATTTTTTTCTCTTTGAATTGCGATAATCCTTTTGTATTCTCATAAATATCTGTAAACCCAGTCATTTCTTTCTTTGATGATGCTTCAATTTTAAAAATAAAATCATTGCATGCGTATTAAATTGATTGCGTCACGATTCTGACATTACAGATATAGAATAACCAATTTATTTGATAAGGTCAAAAAGTCATTTAAATTTGACGTATGTTTTCCTCATACCTGATATGTTTATTTCTTCATTGATCTTCATTGTCTCTTGATCAGTCCCTTTGAAAGTCCGCGACCTTTTGAGAAAGTTGTATTAATTATAAAGATTCTGTAGTTGCTCATATTTCTTATTAAAAGGTACCACTTAACAAAAATATAATGACGTGGAGACACTTGGAAGTGGACGTGAGAAAATAATAGAGATAAGATAGAAATATCGATATTCTTTTTTAACAATAGAAAGGATTATGGCCTTACATGGGTGTGATATTTATAAGGTCAATAAAAATGATATTACAATAACAGTTTTAAAAAACACACACACAAGTTTATCATTCATAATTAACATTTTGATGAGATAGATGACAATTTTTCATTACACTTTGTAATGCACAAATACTTTAATATTTCTTCTATTAATCAACTTACCGTTTAATAAAGATGACAACAAGTATGATAACAACGAATACAACAACAATAGCAGCGAATGATCCTCCAACTATTGGAAGCGTACTTTCTTCAGTTTGTAATAGCTGTCTACAAAGGGATCCCCCAAATCCATCAGCACATCCTCCTTCTAAACACCTGCCGTCAATATGGTGACACTGACTCCCACTCTGACAGTTTCCACATGTTTGGTAGCAGTTTGGACCAAACATTCCACCGTCACATTCTGTTAAAAACACATTGACACTTACTTTTTACTCTTACAAATTTTTGGTGGTCCTTTTTTAAATCAGATGTCTTTTGCACAGAGCGAAGGTTCGCCAGTGTTTGCCAAAATTCCTAATTATTAAAACAGAAATGTTTGCGAGCGCTCGCTCTGTTGAATAAGCCTCGGGCTTATAAATATGATTTGTTCACATTTTACCTTTAGTACAAAGCAATCCTTTGTATCCAATCGAACATCCTTGTAAACAAGTACCGTTAATATGGTCACATTGTTCATCGTCCAAGCAGTACCCACAATTTCTGTTGCAGTTCTCACCATACATTCTACCATCACATTCTTAGAAAAAGAACGAAGCTATATGAAATTTCGATGTTAGCATTTTAAAAAAACCTTCACATTTCAAAGCCTTTGATTTATTGTAATCGATAAAATTGATAAGAACTTTATATTGATCAAGCTTAATATCCGATTCTATCATTGTAAACCCTTCCTAAATCATATACTTTTTTTTTAATTTCCCATATCATGCACTAAACGAAATCATCTAAATACCCCTATTTTTCAAACATAAACACTAAATTTTCTCGAAAACTTCATCCACCCCTCGGTAATTATGAGATATGGATAATACTAGCTTATTCATACTTAAAGTTTCTTTTGGCCTGCTTTTTCATAAGCTGAAGATCACAATTACTTACCATCTTCACAGAGAGGTTCCTTATACCCAATTGAACACCCTTCTAAACATGATCCGTTGATGTGATGACAGTGAGAACCATTTAGACATTGTCCACAGCTCTGATTGCATTTATATCCGTACAAGCCGATTTCACATTCTGGAATAAAAAGTTTCAAAGTGTTAATTACTAATAATTCTAGTGAAGTAGGCAAAATATAACTGTTCGATAGGCCATTTTTAAAATAATGAGTGTTTGTCATTCCTGACTCGTTTTTTCCCGTAATTTTTCAACATATTTATTGACGTTATAAGAGGAATAAAAAGAAAAAGTATCGTGTCCTAAAATGTATTACGAGTCAGTTGGTAGGAAGAGGGCAAATAAACCTTTTTTTTGAAGATGGACTTACTTTTTTAATTCAAGAAAACAAAACCATCTCTAGAGATTGTTACACTAAATTCAGTTGTAGATCATAGGATGTTATCAAACATAACAGAACAATTAGATTTAATCCTATGACCTCAGGTAATTTTTTTGTCAGATACATCAAATATTTTCTTGATTTAATGATCTTGACAGTCTTTTCATGTTTTATTTATGATTTTCTAAGTTTAACAGACATAATGATCTGAATAATTGGTTTATCAGCAGTCAGGGTTCTTTTTATGAATGACAAATAATTTTTAACTGTACTTTGATTCTGCTGTATGTTCTTACATGTACAATATAAATTACCTTCAGAACAAAGCACCCCTTTATATCCAGCTGAACATCCCTCTAAGCAGCTACCATTAACATTATTGCACTGTGTATCGCGAAGACAATGACCACAGCTTGCATTGCAGTTATAACCATACGTTCCACCGCTACATTCTTCAAAATAAAGAATAAGTATAATTCATGTTTTTTAAAATTATTTTTTGTTGGTATGGGACAATATTAGATGGTCTCATCAAATTGTTTGCAGATTTACCAAAAAAGTGAAAAAAAAGAATACATACAATATGTTCATTAGAAACTTTCATACTTAAAGAAATGGCGTCTTCTACAACAACAGGATAATTACTTACCAGTCTTACAAAGAGAATCTGTATATCCAGGAGAACACCCATCTAAACAGGTACCGTTTTCATGGTGACAGTCAGTGCCATCATAGCAGTTTCCACAGGTTTGATTGCATTTCAAGCCATACCTCCCACCGTCACATTCTGCCAAAAAAGTTTTAAAAAGGCTTCAGAAGATGATGGAAGTTATTGTTATGTACATTTGTTTTCAAACCTGAGTCTGAGTGTGATTACTATTAGCTTTTAGCTTTACTTTTGGACAAAAACACAGACAAAAATTATCTGTTATTGTAAAGACATCAGAATATAAACTATAAACAGGTTAGGTAACTTAACATATTATTGCAATTACCTTTAAGTGCATTGTACTTCAAAGTATCTAACCTTTCTTACAAACATCCCCTTCGTATCCAGCAGAGCATCCATGTGAACAAGAACCGTTGACATGGTGGCATTGTGTATCATTAAAACAAAACCCACATGTTTCACTGCAGGATGCACCGTACATTCCTCTGTCGCATTCTAAAAATAGTTCACATATGAAACATATGAAAACTAGATGCTGTCATGAGACAGTAATACCCACACTAAGGTGTTTGCCTCTAAATACACACTCGTACATGTTAGGCTTAAAGTCTTCCAAGGAAAAGTCAAAATAATTCTATAATTTACACAGTACAATTTCAACCAAATTTGGCAAAAAGCATCTATGGGTGAAGGGGAACAAAAATTGTGAATTTCATGACCCCTGTCCCCCTGGGGCCTGAGGGGTGGGGCCAAAACCACTAAAATTAATGCAATCTTTAAAAATCTTCTTCTTTACTCCTGGACATCAAGCAGTCAAACTGTTTGCATGATTGTAATCAGCAATGAGTCCTCTACCAAAATTGTGAAATTCATGGCCCTGGGGTCAGGGGTTCTAGTGCTAGGGCGGGGCTAAACAAGTATATAGTGAAAATGCATTATTTCTTTGAAAATCTTCTTCTCTGCTCCTGGGTATTGAATAAACCAACTAAGTACATAGTTATGATCAGCAAGAGTGCCTCTACCAAAATTGTGAATTTTATGGCCCCAGGGTCAGGGGTTCTGGTGTAAGGGCGGGGCTCTATTGATTATATAGTGAAAATACATGAATTCTTTGAAAATCTTCTCTGCTCCTGGGGATTAAATAAATTAACTAAGTACATAGTTATGATAAGCAAGAGTGCCTCTACCAAAATTGTGTATTTTATGGCACCAGGGTCAGGGGTTCTTGTTTTAGGGTGGGGCTCTAATGATTATATAGTGAAATGCATGTATTCTTTGAACATCTTATCCTTTGCTCCTGGTTAATATACTAATGATCTAATTACATATTTAATGGCAGGATTTATTTCATTTTCAGTTTTACAAACCCTCCGCTCAAGGTTTTGAATTTTCAGAAAAAAATAAAACAATTTTTTTCTTTCCGATGTCAAATTTGAGTCGGGATCGAAATTTCAAATTTACGAACTCGCACTTCCGGTTTTAAGATGAAACGGCGGGTAAATAAAGCTAGATCTGAGAAGATAACTTGGTTTAGTGTAAAATTCATCGATACGAGTGCCATTGAAAACGTTTCGCCCGTTCAAAGGACAAATAAAATGGTGACGACTTTGTTGCACAATGACATGCTGGTGAGATAATTATGTATTCGTTTCAAAAGTATTATTTTCGTCCCCCAGGTTTTAAACTGCCTGTGGTAGCTATTGCATATTGCCAGCGACATTCTTTAGGTCTCTGTCATAGCTTACAGTCTAAGCATCATTCTTCAGAAAAGGGTTGCTTATGCATCAGATGTAATGAATAAAACTATGGGAGAAGTTAAGTCCATTTGAGGAAGAAATAAACAATAACCTGAAGAAATAAAAAAAAAGTTCAACTATTAAAAGGCAAGAATATACAAATATATACAGGCATGTAGTATCATTTGTATAAGCCAGAAAAATTATTTTACACTTAACTTAATTGAAAAAATGTTCATCCTACTCCCCAATACTCCCTGTCTGTTTTATGATAGGAATATTATAATTTTAGGCAACAAGTAATGTCTATACATTTACCTAACACATATTTAAAAAATGAAGATATATTGAAAGACTTTTAAAGAATTGATTTTTTAAAATATATTTTGACCAACATCACAAAATTTAAATATAACTGGCCCAAACTGGCAGATGATGAAATAAGCAATTAAATGTTCTACTTTCCTATTTGTAAGCATTAAGTGTCCAGTGGTAAGGAGCCTATTAGAATAGCTTAAAAAAAGAATGTACAAATGCTAATAACTGATTTATCAAAAAAAAATTTTATTTCCTTCTCCTTCGGGACTTTTTTATTCTCATTTCATAACTAAACTTAAACATAAAAAATGCTGGCCTTATAATGAAGAAAGGGGCCTCTTTCCAAATAGATAATTTCAGGGCCGCTGGGTCAGGGGTACCAAGGGGGTACTTTGACTAAAATAAATTAATGCTTTGAAATCTGCCCTTTGATAAGCAATGGTCCCTCCTTCAAAATTTGTGAATTTCATGACTTTGGATAAACACGAACCAAATACAATCGCTGGAAAGTTGTTACATGATACTCAGGTGACCTATAAGGCCCGTGGGCCTCTTGTTTTTTAATAGGATACACATGAATATGGAAAAGTTATGTTAAAACATAGTTTGTTATGAATTAATTTTAAAATTTGTTCTTCAACTACCGGTATACATGTTTACATGTAAACACCTTTTGGAAAATTTCAAAATTACATTGGGTTGCGTCACCCATTTTCATATTTTTAGATTAAGCACCACTCGGCACACCTCGGCCGATTCGTGCTTCATCTGCATTTAGCCAAGGTTTGTCAAATAGGATAGCATGCACATGCTGCAGTGTGATGTGTATTGAAAAAATCATTTTGTGTTATAATTGGATTATATTTCATGAAGTTCACAGGACCTATGACAGTCGGTAAGTACAAGTTTAAGTATAGATTGGGGTAAAATGAACCGAAATGCAAAATTTAGATTAGGTTAAAGTTCAAAGATCATCGCATGCCACAGTATAGTCGGATTTCACATTGTGAAGTTATCTCCCGTTGTCGATGTGACATTCAGTTACAGGTGCAGATCCAGATTTTTTTCATGAGGGGGGAGGGGGGGTTCACACCTCAGTCAAAAAAATGTCAGCCCAGAATTTTCTCACAAGCAAAGACAAAAAACTGAAAACAAAATAGAAACAATGATAGTGGGGTCGTGGGGTCAATGTTTTCTAAGGGGGATGGTGTCCAAAGTAATTTTTTATTTGCTTCAGTATATAGTCTTATTTAAATAAGAAAGCAAACCCCAGTGGAGGGGAGGTCCAATCTCCCTAGCCACTCCCTGTTCGTGACATTGCAATTGATCTTGTGACTCCAAAATAGAATTTTTTTTCCATTTGACTATATATATACCGGTACATATTTTGTTTCTTGTGTTTATAAATAATGTCTGACTGTTTGTCTGCAGAAATTTGATCAGTAATTTAGCTGAAATTTTTCATCAGTAGGTGCTAGGGTTTTCATGCTTAACATGTGTATTCATTGTAAACTTTCAACAGGTATAAATATGTTTGACCTTGGCCCTAGAGTTAGACCCACTTAAAAAATGAAATTAACCTTGGCAATTAACTTTTGAACAGGAAGTACTAGGGATTTCTTTATATTTCACATGTGTATTCCTTGTGACAAGCCTTTCTTTCGATACCAACAATTTTAACCCTTTGACCTTGATCTTTGAGTTTGACATACATTTGAGAAACTTCAACCTTCGCCATAAGTTGCCATACGTGGGCATCAGTGTTTAACAAACACATCTTGTCTTCATTACTTTTAAGTGGCGGTGTCTCCATATGAGGGAAAAATTCCCGAGAGAGATGTTTTCACAACAAACAAACAAATTACTAAAAATAACATAAAACATGAACATGTTGGTTGTATCTCTTGTTCTCCCTTGAATCAGAAATGATTACATAAATAATTTAAAAATAATTACATGTATCATAAGATTTGAAAAGGTTGTGCATCTTAAATTGACTAAGTTTTGTGGTTGAATTAGCTATAAAAGTTTACTAGCTTTATTTTGCTACTCAGAACACCTTGATTAACTATTTTCAATGATACTGTTTTCTGAAATGTTCAGTTTGTTCAACAATGGATACATATGTCATACAATTTCAGTTTCTCAAAAAATGCATAAAAAAAAGCTTTTCAAATACTGTAACCATGGTAACCTTTACAAAATACATGTGAATCCTATGCTTTTAGCTCATTTGAGCTTTTCAGGTTTTTTTATCCCATTACGTCTGTTGTCCATTTGTTTGTATGGAAACTTTACATTTTTAACTCGTTTACAACCACTGGGCCAATTTTAACCAATTCACATTGAAATCAGTATATGTACATCTGTACGTCAGTCTGTCAATTTAACCTTGGTCATCACAGTCATATCTATTGAATGAGAAGAGACAAGGCATTTGTATTAAACATATGTATAATTAGTATTTACCTGTGACAATACCATGATTTTTTCTACCCATGACCTTGAAGTTTGACCTACTTGCAAAAAAATTGCATTGTTTTAAATTCATCACTTTGAAAGAATTCATATTATACATGCATGTATATTATTACCTATGATAAGACCTTTCTAACTAAATCATGAATCTGTGACCTTGACCTTGAAGCTTAACCTACTTTTCAAAATGTTGCATTTGCTTATAACTTTGGATTGAGAAGAGATATGACTTTCACATTTGACATGTACAATACTCGTAAGAATTCAAGATGTTTCCCAGCATGCTTTGATTTTTTACCCTATGATGTTGATGTTTTACCTAATTTTCAAAATATTTAACTCTTCTAAAAGATGATCAGGCTACTGATTTGACCCCCCGGGGCAAAATCAAAATTCTGAAACCTTACTGTACATCTACATGACACCAACAACCATCTCCCAAAAGATGATTAGGCTGCTGAGTAAAATGTAGAAAAAGTTCAGGGAAGACGGGGCTTTTAGCATAAAAAATGTCATTTTTCGACTCCCATTTGATCCCCCGGGGCAAAATCAAAATACCGAAACCTTACTGCACATCTACATGACACCACCAACCATCTCCCAAAAGATAATTAGGCTGCTGAGTAAAATGTAAGAGGAGTTCAGGGAAGACGGGGCTTTTAGCATAAAAAACGTCATTTTTCGACCCCCATTTGACCCCCGGGGGCAAAATCAAAATACCGAAACCTTACTGCACATCTACATGACACCACCAACCATCTCCCAAAAGGTGATTAGGCTGCTGAGTAAAATGTAGAAGGAGTTCAGGGAAGACGGGGCTTTTAGCATAAAAAACGTCATTTTTCGACCCCCATTTGACCCCCCGGAGCAAAATCAAAATTCCGAAACCTTACTGCACATCTACATGACACCACCAACCATCTCCAAAAAGATGATTACGCTACTGTGTAAAATGTAGGAGGAGTTCAGGGAAGAAAAGTGTGACAGACGGACGGACGGACATGAGTAACAACAATATACTCGAACTTTCTTTAGAAAGTGCGGGTATAATAACGAACAGCATTCAAGATCGAAAGTCCATAAAACGATACAAAATAGGAGCAGAGCAAACATGGACCTCCAAAATATCAGAGGTGGGATCAGGTGCCATGGAGGAGTGAGCATCCCTTGCCAAGCGGTCACACCGGCCGTGTGCTCCTTGTCAAGATCGGGAAATAACGGAAAAATCAGTCGTTAATTCAGTGTATAAATAATGGAATAACAGTAAGTTTGCAAAAACTCAGTCAGCATTTCAAACAATGATAAATCGCATTTGCTGGTAAGGTCATGGTATCGATCATAGAAATTACGACATTATGACTTTAAAGAGAATGCTGATATTCTGGTTTCATCAACTTGTTTGTCAATAATTTACCTTGCATACTCTTGCGTATCAAATCAACTGAGATATATAAACTCCGTATGCAGATTTATGATGTTATATTGCTAAAAAAGTCAGGGAAGTTGACGATAGAAAAGTTAAAGTCATCACGTTTATCATAGAGCTTGGTTGTTTGATTACCATTAACGTTTTATCTCAAGCTAACCGAGGTATATCGTATCGACATAAGAATGGAAATTACCATTGAAATTACTATTGTTAATTGACACTATGTCGTTGATATATCTGAATGTCGATTTTAAAGGCCACAAAAAGTGTTTTCTTATTTTCATGCGTAAGATTTTTGGTTCATATGAATACAAAAATAGGTATACTAATAACTGGGCGTAAATGGTACCCATGGGAATTCCAAAAGATTGTTAGAAGACTTGGTCAACAAAAACAACATAGATTTTGTCAAGCAGAAACTCAAGCATCTTTTTGATGACAACTTCAGAGTACTTCTTTGTACATTCAGAATGTTTTTGAACAAAAGAATTTTGCAAATGACAAGGCACTGTGTAAGTAAATTTATGAGTTTCGTTTCTATTTATAAAGCAGCTGTCAATGATATCAAAAAGCTAAGCCTGGACTTTAAAGCTGAACACGATTCGTAAAAGAATTTGTCCGCCATTTTTGTTCCCGATTCTCGCTACTCTGCAAACCCGTATATAAAGGTCAGAATTTCGTCACTGTTCAGTGTAATTAGTCGACACGGTTGTAGACGGACGTATGCTACACAGGACTCGGTAGCGAGAAATATAACGTAATACTTCGTCTAATACAGGAAAGTAAGCTACCAAATAAATTTTCACAATTATAGTTGTACAGGTCAGTGCAGTATACAAACAACACAGATACACATAACTGCAATAAAATGTAAACAAAAGTAATGCACGAACACGGGTCGCCATTCCACGCCGATACCCCTGACAATGACGCAGTCAGGCGTAACAAATGCGACGAGTATACCCTAGTGTTGATGTATCGTAGATAATTATATAAAAAATGGCGTATGCCTATTTACGAGTCGTGTTCAGCTTTAATTATCGTGGGGAATGGTTGTGTATAAAGTTGAAACGTCGCCAATTTTTTATGCTGTTGATTTTGGTAAAGTCTTCTGATCTCAAATTGTCCATAAGTTCCTTGGAAGTAAAGTATTAACATCCGATTTACAACACTTTTTGAATATATTGTCGCACAGTACTCTTGACGTTCCCCCTTTACTACTGCTTATATCTTATTGAGAAGTTAAGAAAGACGCTTGGTCGAACAATTACTGGAACCCGCTATGTATCTTTGTTTGTAAGGTTCTTATGAGGTTTCGGGATGTAATATATATATGGGAGTTCAAAATCATTTTGATTATTTGGCATTCGTATATATTTAAAATATTAAAAACTAACATTTGATGTTGAAGAATTTCTTCCTAAGAAAGGGAACTATGAGTGTAATTGCATTTCCACTTCTAGAATTGAATCCAAGTTCTACTAAAATAATACGTAATTAATACTTCTTTAGTCATTTCTTTTGGTATGCGTACTTACACATTTTCTCTCATTGATGCCATGTTAAAAAAAATATTTTATCTAACCAAGAAAAAATTGAAAATATATCTATTACGATTAAAAATTAATTTGCATGAAAAATTTCATAGCTGAAAGACAATATTTGTCTTCAATGTTACACTTACCTATAATACAGAGGGGTGTCTTATATCCAGGAGAACACCCTCCGGTACATGATCCGTCTACGCGGTCACAATGAGCGCCATTAAAACAACGTCCACAGGTTTGATTGCACTTTAAGCCAAACGTTCCACCGTCACATTCTTTCAAAATATAAAAGAATGTTGATGTCACTTTTGTTCGAAAATCAAATTATTTAAGAAATTTCTTATTTTTTAATTCTTTGTACATATTATATATATAGTGAATATGAAAAGAAATAATATTTTTTAATTCTGGAAATTAAAGTCCTGAACCTGATCAATTGTTTTGTTTTTCAAATATTGTTTAAGTCTAATGTAATAAAAAATAACAATGTATATTCAAAACAACTTAAGTATGTTGGACATGCTGGACATTTTTGACCTAAAAAAAATTAATATTAGCATAAATTTAGAAACTTTCAATGATAATTTTTTTTTTCGCGATATTTCTTACGTTGTTTACATAGAATTCCTTGGTATTCCAAAGAGTCCATTTTTCAAATCCATTATAAAACTTTAATATATTTCTTACGTTTATTACAAAGGGGTCCTTCGTAACCCGCAGAGCAACCGCCTGAACACGAACCATTGATATGTTGACAAGGTTTATTATTAAGGCATTTACCGCATCTTTCACCACAAGATGCTCCATAAGTTCCCTCTTCGCATTCTAAAATGCAGTTTTTATATATTTCTGGGAATTTGTATAATACTTTCATATTTTTCTTGAAAGAAAAGATAAATATATATATTTTCTTAATTTTCACAAAAAAAAATACTGTATAACGAAAGAACTTTAATTTTGCTTAAAAATGTAAAATGCTTCACGTATCCGTTTAAATAAGCTTTAAATCGTAAGCACTGAACGAAGTTGGTTTTAAATAATAAAACTTACTGTCGATACATATGGGTGCCTTATATCCAGAAGAACAGCCTCCGCTACATGATCCGTCAATGTGGTTACAAGAAGCACCATTAAGACAATATCCACAGGTTTGATTACATCCCAAGCCAAAACTTCCAACGTCACATTCTTAGAAATAAATGTTTTATTTGTGTTATTTGTCGATATAGATATTCCTATTATTAGGCATGTTTTTTTTATTTTTTTTTCGTTTAAGTTTCTTCAGTATTTACTGTATATTGAGTAAATAATGTATTAGAAATATACCCGAAACAATCCTCAAAGTTTACAATTCAATAATATGTACATGTAGGTTTTAAAGTACATGTAGGGTCTGTGGTATGGTATAATCTACTAAAACACTCACAGAAGCATTTGTAATTATGTTTTTAAAAATCTCATTTTCTGATGTGTTTTTCTTTTACGTTTTTTACATAGAGGTCCTTCGTGTCCCGCAGAGCAACCACCCGAGCAGGACCCATTGATGTGATGACATTGTATATTATTTAGACAATGTCCACAACTCTGACTGCAGGCAGGTCCGTACATTCTACCGTCACATTCTAAAAAAGAATATAAACAAATTATGATATTAATATTTTTTCTCTATCAAAATCAAACGATCCACACTCCAATAATGTTCTCTGAAATTAATTAAAATATGCTACAATAAATACAAATCTGTAAAACAGAATTTACAAACATGCAAGCTCATGACCTGGTAACACGATTAAACCTGTTACACGAATAATCCTTCCCGCACACGATTCTACACGTTACACGATCTTACACGCACGATTCTTCACTAAAAATAGTTCAAAATATTTAGGAATCGATATTTTCAAAACGAAATACGGCTTAATACCGATTTTAGATTTTAAAGATTTATTAATATTGTTTCGTCTATTTTCAAAAAGAAATTTCTGGAACTAAAGACATGTAAGACTTCTTTGTTATTTTAGATTATAAATAATTATTTAGGTAGTTCTCCGACTTAAGAAAACTGAAATTTTTTTGTTCTATCAGAAGACGTAAATGTAGGTAGACTGTAAAATTTGATTGATTTGGATTTCATAATATGCAGAAAAGGAGGAACGATTTAAAAAAAATGGCAACATGGAATTACAAGTTAGCTCCAGAGATAAACACTTGTTTACAAGCGATATTAAATTAGTTCGTTCTGCACTCGATAATGTAAATTGCGCTTCATTCATTTTATTTGGATTAAAAAAAAAAAACAAACGAACTGCTTCTTTGACAAATAACATTCCGATAAAAACTTACAAAACGAAAGAAGTCGGTTCACTTTACGCATAAAATGGCCCTGTAGATATACCTATTGATTGATTAACACTTGATTTTCTATTTGAAGCATTAAAATAAAGTAGAGACTTGATGCTTTTATATCCTATTAAAAATTTTCTCCTCGAAGTCAAGGTCTTGAAGAACTGGCTTTATGAAATTGCAATGTTCTTGAATTTTTATGTAAACAGGTATAATTGAGTACTTTCAGTGAAGAAAAATAATATGAGCGCACTCTCTGATCTAAAAAATAAAACATGTACATTAATCCTCTGAAACAGCTCTATCATTTACTAGTTGCATATTTTAGATCAGAGGTTGTGATCTATATGAAATATCAAAAAATAGCTTTAAAAAATGGCCGTTTTTGTACACTTTTTCAGAATATGAGGAAATTGACGCATTTCGAGCCACGATCTGAAATTTTTTTGGATCGGGGCAGATCGCAGCCGATCGGCGTCTAAATAGAGCAATTTGGCAAATTATGGTCTTCGTTAGGACCGTACTACGATGTCCCTACGTCAAACGCGCTGCTAATACGCTTCTACTACGATGTTACGCAGACCGTTGCCGACAAGCGGCCGTGTTTACTGCGTTTACGCTACGCTGCCACTACGACATTGAAGACCATACTACGACGCTACACAGACTTAGATGACTGTACCGCGATGTCGCTACGGTGGTGCCGATCATATTACGTTGCAATACGCTTCTAGTACGATTTTGGCTATGAGGTAAATATATCTTGCAACCGGAGATTTTTGTAGTACGATTTTAGCGATGATGGATATCTTGCGACCGCAGTTTGTTTTGGGCCTTTACCACATGGTTTAAGGGCAATTTCAATCATAACTGTAACAAGATGTGAAAATGCTCAATTGTAAATGATCATCAAGTATAGTGTCACCCTGTATATGTAGTTTACAGATGATGATTGGTCAAATATCAGAGCTATAAAAACAAACTCCTGTCTGATAGGTCGTGGTATGATCGGCGTAAGGTCATTGTAGGTCTTCATAGGATCGTCAGGAACGTAGAGAGATCGTAGTGAGAACGTAGTACGAACGTAGAGGGAGTGCTGTATAAGCGTGCTTGGTAAGTTCCTACGCTCTTACGGCGCTTTTACTACGATCATGAAGATCTCTCTATGATGCTTCCGCGCTGCTTGTACGACTATGGCGCTTCTACTACGCTCTTTTTACGACTTCACCCCGATTCTTGTTGACCACGATCCCGCTACGCTTGTTTTGAACATGTTCAAAATAAGCGTGGTGATAGCGTAGAGCTCTCCGAGCATGAAGACCCTACTGCGATCATACTACGTTTATGACGACCCCACGACGTTTCTCCTGCGATTTGTCACGATCGGCCACGCTTTTGGACACGATTTGATCGTAGTAGAAGCGGCGTCTATGTGTGAACGGGGGGGGGGGGGGGGGTAACAAAAACTATGCAGTTTCAGAAATTCACAGGGCCAAATACGGCAAAAGTGAACCTTGTTCTTTAAACGTTTCAAAACGCACACCATCACGCACGATTAAAACCACTAACGATTGAGTCTGATATACGCACGATCTCGCACGTTGCCCGATGGATCACGCACGATACATGACCGATTCTATACGATTGTTTTGTCAACAAAATCGTTGCAGCCAATGTATCCGAAGGACATGTCTGAACGTCCCACAGTGGGATTCGGACCCGCGACGAAAGGATCAACTCCTTTTTTCGCGACTTTAGAGTCGTCGCTCTACCACTGCGCCACGCAGAAAATTAAAACACACGTGATCAATAATTGTGCTAACACCAACCAATCAACAGTTATGGTGGGGGTTTAATGATTTCCGAATTAAGATACAAACACATATTTATACCAAATAATTTTTCCCTTAGAAACTTCATTTCCGATTAAATCCAATAAATTTTGTATTGAATAATATCACAGACAAACTGTTTTTTAAAAAAACATGAAATCTATAGCCTTTGTCAGAAAATATTTATTTACATTTAAAAGATTTGCCGAAGAATACAAAACATAAAAATGAATTCAGTTTACAATTTATTGTGAAACTTATACATTAGAAACAAAAACAATGCGTGTACGTTTTGCGCAATTCGTTTTTACGAGCAGTTTAGGTATTTCCTACTACTTACTCTGACTACAGCGATGTCCTTTATAACCCGGATTACACTCAAAACAGTTTCCTGTAGAGATATTACATCTTTGCTCAAGGCAGTTTTCTGGACATAAATGGTCACAATACTGGCCGTAGAATTTAGATGCAGGGCACCCTGTTAAGGAAAGATGATACAAACAAAAAACTGGATGCCTGGATTGATATATATTTCTGGGCCTTTTTGTTGCAAATGATGCAACTAATATATTATCCCAATATTAATAAATTGTTAACCTTCTACAATGTTCAATTCTCTGCCTTTCTGCAGCCGTCATTATTAATGTATACATATATTTTTCACTTCAAATTCCATTTTTGTGAAACTTTGAATTAAAGAAAAATAACTATACCGTTAAACTTGTTTATTTTACTCATTGAAACATGACTCAGGTTGTTTTTCTCAATTTTAATGACAAAAGTTTGTTTGTATAACTTCTGTCCTTAAGTACAATGAAAATATTAATTGTCTCAATCTCAAAAAATTATCTAAAATCTAATATTTAGTTTATATTGTAGAACGTATCGTGATATTTAAAACCCACCATACACCTCCAATTCACACAGTTCATTATATGCATATTGAGAGTAGTAACTTGGATACGTCACACCCGGTTTCCGTTCGTTGTAGAATATAACATAACGCCCGTCATATGGACAATTGATTGTCTGGTTCTCTGTTGGTGTACCGTTTACTTGTTGTAATTCATGAAAACAAAGACGCCCACCGTCTTTATTTGTATTGTTCGAAACGTAAACATAAAATCCTGCAAATCGTTTGTGGTAAACTGTAGGACCTAAACAAATAAAATGTTTTCAACAATGTCAATTATTGCTGTTTTTCCTTTTTTAAATCTATATTTTATCCATGAGAAATCTAGGTAAATACACTTTTTAAAAATTATTTTTTGTATAAAATAAACAACAATATGATACACATGGAAAGCTGGTTTACATGTAGTTCATTTGATCATCATTTAAAATGAAAATAATATAAAAATGAAGTATAAAATTTAAAAAAAATATTTACATGCAAATATCATGTAATAAGTTTGTATTTTATTAACAAAATTTTTGAATATGTAATAATCGCTTGAAGTTTTTACAGAAAGTTTGCAAGTCTTGCTTATAATCTCTTCCGTGATTTCCTTGTCATGTGTAAAAAGTATGGCTTAATTACTTCAAATTTTGTTTACTCGTATAGAGACCTCACCATATACCGTCATTATCTAAAAATCCAGCAATTTATTTACAAGTGCATAAATGATTTTGACGACAAACACTTTTTAAAACTTTACTCGAGATATCATGGTATTTCTCATAACCTCACAACCAGCCTCTTTGTACATATGAACGGCCAACATAAGTTAACATAATCAAATCAAATATTTTTCATAAATTTCAAAATTTTAATTTTTCAAATCGGGAACTGCTTTTGCATCTCATTTACACTGTCAACGAATCCTGCAATTTTTATGCCTCCTTTCGAAGAAGGACGGGTATATTACTTTGCTTCTGTCTGTCGCTTGGTCTATCGGTAAACTTAGTTTCCTTTCATTTTTTCACACCCGTTGCATATACGGAAATAAAATTTGGCATACAAGTTTATCAGATAAATATCTAGGTCAAGTTCTCTGTTGGGTTCGATCGCGCAATTTTTCACAGTTATGTCCCTTGGACTTGGAAAAATTCCAATTATTTGCCGTTTCCGCTCATTTTCTTCGCGGAGGTTGCACATACGAAAACGTATTTTGGTATACAGATTCAACAGAAAAATATCTAAGTCAAGTTTTGTTTTGGGTATGATCGCGCCATTTTTGACAGATTTATGCCCCTTGGACTTGGAAAAATTCCAATTTTGGGAAGGGGGCATAAGTTTTTTATAAACATCTCTTGTTCTTATTGCGCATTTTTAACTCAAAAAACAGGTTCGAAACCAATGTTTAATATAATATATGGAAAATATGTATTTAAACAATTGAAGTAGATTATAAAATGAAATAAGATAATATGAGAAAGATAAAAAATATCTAGAATTTTAGGGTATTGAAACCCGAGACCAAAAACAACAAAATCAATTCAGCCTTAAGTAATTGACCACCCAAGGCAACTTTTAAGAAGAACTGTTCTTTTTTTTTTTGCATACATGCACTAGTTAATAGACACGAATTAGGATCTTTAGGAGAATTGGATGGCTGAGCTATTAAATCTTTTTTTTAATATACACACATACATGATGACCAAGTTAAACCAAAAAGATTTTAAAATATCACTCTACTTTGATACCAAAAAAAACAATCCAATCAATATTTTCTTTGGTTTAAGTGGTTCTAATTCTTCTTCTTATCTTTTAATGTTCACTCGAGAGTTCTCTATGTATCATATGTTTATTCTTCTGATGTCATTGACTTTGTTTGAGATTGCTCAATTGTTTTTGACTTTGTGGGTACTTCTCATCAACGAATTGATCCCCGTGGGGATTCGGGTTAGAATAGGGCCTCAGTACCCCCTTGCTTGTCGTAAAAGGCGACTAAATGGGGCGGTCCTTCGGATGAGACCGTAAAAAACCGAGGCCCAATGTCACAGAAGGTGTGGCACGATAAAGATCCCTCCCTGCTCAGAGGCCGTAAGTGCCGAGCATAGGCCTAAATTTGCAGCCCTTCGCCGGGAATGGTGATGTCTCGATGTCAGTTATTCTGGAGAGGGACGTTAAACGGTATACAACCAATCAATCAATCATCCAAGAATTGACATCCTTTTATGGACATGAGAAAACTAGCGATTACTTCATTAGCGATAGCCTTTAAAATTCAAGAAATGTTCTAAAATTTAGTGGAGAAGCAATTTTAATTGTTTATAGCATTTTTTTTCTCTTTTACTTCAGGAATTATTTTGATTTTTATAAGTACAAAGAACACAAAATTCATTCACGCACATGTTCCAAAGAATAATAATCACATACCAAATTGATATCATAACTTTAAACATTATATCAGCAAATAGAAATCTGTTTGATGACAGATAAGATATCAATTAAAAAATCGTATATATAACGTCATCCTCTTGAGGTCATATATGATACATTGTATCATAGTTGATGATAATATGAAGGATATGGATATAACGAACAGAATTCAATATCAAAGTCCATAGAACAATACAAAATACGAGCAGAGAAAAGACTAACCTCTAAAACAGAGGTGTGATCAGGTGCCATGGAGGAGTAAGCATCCCCTGATGAAAGGTCTCATGCGCCGTGTGCTCCTTGTAATGATCGGGAAATGACGGACAAATTCAATGTATATAATTAAAGGAATAACAATGAGTATGAAAAACGTCAGTCAGCATTTGACTCAATGGTAACTTGTATTTGCTGACAAGGTCATTGTATCGATTTAAGAACTTACGAAATGATGACTTTAAACGAGTCTGCTGATATTGTTTGTTAATGATTTGCTCGATTTAGTAATTGTTCATACGTAGAGCATGGTCTTGCGTATCGAATCAACTGAGATATATAAACGCCTTTTGCAGGTAATGAAGGTATATTGCTGCACAAATAAGGGAAGTTGACGATTGAAAAGTTAAAGTCTTCACGTTAAATATAATGCATTTATGGTACATTAATCCTCTGATAAGAGAGATAATTCTTAATGACACAAATGTTTATTATTCCTTTGTAAATTTGTCAGAATTAAGTGCCTTTTTTGTCAAATTTTGACACCGTAAGCCCTCCTATAATAGTTGTATTTTATTCAGCATATACATTTCCTTTGGAAAATCATAAAAGTTAAAGAAACATTTTAGATAAGTGAGCAGAGGGTTTATGAACCTTTAGTCACATGATATCACCTGGTTAAAAATATAGATATACATTTCGTTATCAAAAATTTATAATGCAGTCAGATATATTGATCATTACAGAACAGTTCCTGAAATTCATTTTATAAAGAAGATTTTTTGTTATACACTATGCGCCTGGTGGTAACAAAGTTCGAAAAAAATATTTTTAGCATAAAGGTCACAGTCAAGGCTAAGAGGTCATTGACCTTGGTGTCATTTAAAAGAACTTGATTAGTGGAGTTTGTATATTAAATATGAAGTATATATCTCTTATGGTTCACAAGTTATGGTTAAAGTTCCCAAAAGCATATATGTCACATTAACGATCACAAGGTCATTGACCTTAGTGGCATTTGAAAGACTTAATTAGTGAAGTATGCATACTTAATATGATATCTCTATCTCTCATGGCTCAAGTTATGTTGAAGGATATGATTGAAGACAAAAATCTATTTTAGCGTGTAAGTCACAGTCAAGGTCACAAGATCATTGGTCTTGATCTCATTTGAAAGACCCTAATTTATGGAGTATGCATAACAAATCTGAAGTCTCCATCTTTTATTGTTCAAAAGTTAAGGCGATTGTAAAAACTGCAGACAAAAAAAAGGCTATTTTAGCATATAGGTTACAAGATCATTGATCTTAGTGTCATTTAAAAGAACTTGATTAGTTGAGTAAACATACCAAATATGAAGTCTCTATTTTTCATGGTTCAAAAGTGATGGCGAAGGTTAAAGTTTGTAGACACCGAGACAGACAAAGCAAAAACAATATACATCCCTAATATATCAATCCGGGCTCATAAAAAAAAACAATATACCCCCGGATCTGTCGATTCAGACGCATAAAAATAGATTTCATACTTGCAAAATTATCAGTCCTATAATAGATGTGGATGTGACTAATGCTGACTATTTTCTCTAGATCTACTCTCCACTCTGCCGTTGATTGACTGGGGCCTGATATTGTACACTGTCCTCCAATAGCTCCACGGTCGAAATATTTCCCATCCACTGCTTTCGCTGCTCCCCATTCTACTAGTTTATCTGGCCAACTGTGGTTCTGCCAGGCAGGTCTCCCCAAGGCTAAATTTACTTGTAAACAAAATAACAGGGAGTGCAGTTGTCCTTTAAAATAGTTTAATGTGTGTATGACGACTAAATTTCAGAAAGAGATTATTTATGACAAAAATATTGAAAGCATAAATTGGAAATATACAAAGAAACGAAACGCCTGAAAACATTTTATGTAATGACTTACAATAACTACAGTGCGGCCCTTGATATCCTGAAAGACAACCTTTCACGCAGTTTCCAGTAATGGCGTCACACTGCTGTCCCTGACATGTTACTGGACATGTCTTGTTACAATATTCACCATAATATCCAGGAGTTGTACAACCTATATAAGAAATAAATATAAGTAACTACTTAACAGTCATTTAATTTGTAGCTTATCCTTAATTAATTACCAAAGAATCAGAAAAGCAACCATATTACGAGAAAAATTCGCATATATCACGTAGAATTAAAAAATTAAACGAGACTTACCTTGGTTAAGGTGAAGTTTGATTGAGATTCTATGAGGAAATAGAATCAATGAAGAGATCACGTGAGATTGTACTGCGCATGTGCGGATTCAGGATTTAAAGCGAAAAAATTTTTTGTTACATCATTTACACAAATGTATACATCATACATCTGTGTAAATGAAATTTTACCAATCATACATTTATAAATTACATTCCTTGCATATGCAGGGTGGGTGGGTGGCACGTGATCTCTTCATTGATTCTATTTCCTCATAGAATCTCAATCAAACTTCACCTTAACCAAGGTAAGTCTCGTTTAATTTTTTAATTCTATTTCGTAAATATCAATTACGAGACCACGTGAGATTTTAAAGAAACAAAACATTTTTTCCATTTTGAACACCCACAATTTATTCAGTCATAACACCATTCAGAAAATTCACTGTATTAACTGGTACAATTGGTTTGTTATAAAACTTTGCAAAAGTTCTTTCATTGGTCCATCCAACCTTATTCAGAATTTCATGAACAGGCACAGAGTTAAAATACGCCTTTGAAACTGCTGCCGCACGAACACTGTGCGGAGAAAACACACTTGTATCAATGCCAGAACGCAACATTACATATCTTATCCAACGTGACAAAGTGTCTTTAGATGCAGCATTATGAGGTTTTACATACGAAATGAATAAAGCATCATCATTATTACTACGCAAATGCAAAGTTCTTTTCAAATATTCAACAAGAACAGTATAAACACATAGTCTCCTATCTGCTGGATAGGCTTTAAGAACAATGTTCGGCCTTCGAAACCCTGGTCTACAAGTCTTTAACAAAGTGTCAAAGTTAAATACAAATGAAGATTTCTTCTTCTGCATACAACTCAGTTTTAAGGCATGTACAGTCTGTATTCTAGCAGCACAAGATAAACAGATAAGCATACAGAGTTTGCAAGTAAGATCTTTCAAACTTAAATATTTCACAGGTGACAATTTCCTGAGGAAACTTAAAACAATTGTAACATCCCACACATAATCATGTTTAGGTGCAGGAGGTCTCAAATTAAAGACCCCTTTCATAAAGCGAATAATAACAGGGTGAGACCCAATAGCATGTCCATCAATAACAAAACCTAATGCAGACAATGATGCTCTGGCTGTATTGAGAGCACTATAACCTAAGTTATTATGGTACAACATAGTCAAAAATTCAATAACATGATTCAAAGAAATTTGAAATTGATTAATTTTCCTTTCACGACAGAAAGAAACCCATCTCTTATGGACAGTCTTGTACTGTTTCTTTGTACTGCCTCTCCAAGATGCCATGAGGATATTGGTAGCGTCAGACGAAAAGCCTGAGTTTTTGAAATGTCTCCCGACAATCGACATGCCATCATCACTAGGGATTTCCTCAGAGGATGACGTTCTTTGGAATGTACAAGATACAGTAGATCCTCCTGCTGAGGCAAAATTCGTGGGTGTTCTATCAACAGTTCCAGAACTTTGTTGTACCACACTTGAGTTGTCCAGACTGGCACCACCATGATGCATTCTGCTCTGTCTTCCATGATCTTCTGCAGACACCTCCCTATCAAGCTAAAAGGAGGAAAAATATAGCTATAATATTTGCTCCAATCAATAGTAAATGCATCAACAAAACTTGCACTGGGGTCAGGCTTCCAGGAGCAATAAGTATCGACTTGAGCATTAAGTCTATTTGCAAACAAATCAATATTAGGCATTCCAAATAAATTAGTGATATCATTAAACACATTAGTATTCAGTTTCCATTCAGTTTGATCCTCAAACTTTCTAGACTTTCTATCTGCAACCACATTATCTATCCCAGGTATGTGAGCAGCCAGTAGCCAGATGTCCCTATCAATGCACCAATCCCAGATCTTACAAGCTATTTCATTGCATAGATTGGAGTGAATACCTCCCATATTATTTATGTAACTAACAGCAGTGACATTATCCAACATAACTTTGATTGACTTATGATGTTGATCTTTGCAAAAAGATTTCAGTGCATAAAAACATGCAAGAAGTTCTAAGGCATTGATGTGATAAGACTGTTCAGTGTCTGACCAGTGACCACCTATCTCTTGATTATTGAAAGTGGCACCCCAACCAAGTAATGAAGCATCAGAATAAACCTCAAAATCTACAGACCCATGACGTATATGTCTACAAGCTTTATGGACATTGTCTATCCACCATAACAAATTGTCCTTCATTTCGTCACTAATACACATTGTAGAATCAAAATTTCCATATGAACATTTCAGTGCCTCAATTTTTCCCTTTTCAAGGGATCTATAATGCAGGGGCCCAAATTCAATGGCTGAAAAACTGGAGACCATCAAACCAATAACGGATGCTACATTTCTGATTGATGCCTCAGATTTGCGGTGTAATTTTTTGCATTCATTAAAAATATTTTCTTTTCTCTCATCTGTTAATGTAACAATCATGTTAACTGAATCGATAACATTGCCAAGAAAAGCGATTTTTTGTGTTGGTTTTATAACTGATTTTTCATAATTCACAAAAAATCCCAGTTTTTCAACCAATGTGACCATTGAAATTGCACCCTTGCTACATTCCTGTACAGTGTCTCCTACCAAAAGAGAGTCATCTATGTATCCCACATTAACATGACCTAATCTTCGTAATGTAGCATATACTGGCTTCATAAGTTTTGTAAACAATCTAGGAGCACTAGATAAACCTTGAGGTAAGGAAGTGAATTGAAACAATTTATTTTCCCAGGAAAACTGAAGAAAATTTTGGTGTTCGATTGCTACAGGTATGGAATAATAAGCATTCTTCAGATCCACTGATGCCAAAAAGCAATTAGGGGTTATGACCTTAAGAGCACTTTCAAATGTGTCCATCTTAAAATGATGGTACTTAATGAACTGATTCAACTCTTTTAAATTCAAAATCATTCTAAATTCCCCATTGCGTTTTGGTCTTAGAAAAATAGTTGACACAAATCCAACATCGTTTGAATTAATTTCTTTAATAACTTCCATTTCCAAAAGTTTGTTAATCTCTTTCTTAATATATGAACATTCTTTCTCGTTGAATTTTATTTGATGAGGAACAGAAGTCTGAACTGGTATAGAGTCATTTTCAAACTCTAAATGACAATGTTGGACAATATCAAGAATGCTTCTATCAGAAGTGAGTTTTTCCCATTCGGAAATAAATTGTTTCAACCTTCCAGCTACAAAATTTTGATTTTCTGGAGAGAATGTTGGACTTACCTGGAAGTCTACTTGCTGTTGTTGGGTCGAGAGCTCCCTCGACGCCCTTTGAAGTTTTTTGGGTCACTGTATCCTGAGTAACCTCTGGTCTGTCCCTGTGTGGACCGATTTTGAAAAATGGACCTTCGTCCACGAAAGTTTCCAAATCTATTTCTGTTAGGGAAACCTCTGTCAGACCTTTGCTGCGTAGGAAAACTGCTCAATTTGTTACTGATGCGACTACAGTCACCTATTTCCTTCACAGTTTTAGGGACATCGTCCCCAAAAAGATAAGATGTATATTTCACATTATGCGAACACAAATGGGAATACTCCCCTTTCATATTTGTTTTCATGAGTTCTCTGCGAAGCATGTTGATTTGATAATTCGACTGACCCAGCAATGCTAAAGCTTCCATGCTTCTATCTATCAAGTCAAAAACACATGGATCGTCAAGCTTACCAATTTTGTCACAAACTTTTACCATGATGGTAGCTGCTTTGACCACAGAAGTCTCAACATTTTGCAGTTTCTTGTCAACTGTACGAGTATTGGGTTGTAGGAATCCCCATACTAACTGATTTGTTTTTACTGTAACTAAACTTTCACAATTATCAGGTCTAGCATTCACCGAGTCTTTGGTAAGTTCAGTATATCTATCATCTTCTATCCCTTGTCTAAACCAGTCATTAACACACGAAGCTAACTCTGAGTTTACAGAAGTATCACATACCTCCTTGATTTTGAGTTTTTCACCTGCCGATTTAAATTTATTATCAGCACCAGACGATGTCGCAGTGTCTTTATTAACAGTACTAGTATCAGCAGTTTGACTTGTATCATGATCGGCGGCAGTATCGTCATTAACAGCGACCGCGTCACTGTCAGGAATAGGGCCATAATCGCCACCATCGTCGTACTCCTCCGCCATTCTAAAAAGTTCATCCACACGATGACTTAAATTATTAAAGTTCTGATCCGACTTACATTGACTTTCCTGGATCGACTTCAGAACGTTTAGCACGTCCGAGATAGATGGGTCAGAGCCACTCGGGCCTGGCGATACATTAGGTCTGCGAACATCGGAGCCTCTGTCCTTCGCTGACGAAGCCACTGGATGCTGACTCGACACCGAGTCTGCTTTTGCGGATTTGCTAGGTTTCTTACTAGTGGTCGTCTCGACTTTTCTTTTCCTGGTGTTACTCGTTTTGTCATCAGGTTTTTCTGCAGGAAAAACAGCGTTTTTCTCAGGAGACAACATGGCGTTCGCCATAGTCGAAACCACGTGCAATCAACACACGTGCAAACGGAAAAAAACGGAAAAAAGCAAAAAGTCTGCTTTACAAGTATTCAGGAACCGCGTCCCAAAAAGTAGTAATAGTCTATCAAACCTCGTTTGACAGTACTCAAAGAAATCAAATATCGTCAACAACGTTGACAAGAGAAAAATATTATTACGTCCGTCTTCCAGCACAAATTACAGAACACTGAATCCGCACATGCGCAGTACAATCTCACGTGGTCTCGTAATTGATATTTACGAAATAGAATATAAATTACAATCTGTTTCTTAAGATGTGGTAATCTAACTGTTACAGCTTACCATAAACCTCCACTTCACAAAGTTCATTGAATGCATACTGAGAGTAGTAGGAAGGATAGACCACACTGCTAAGACGTTCGTTGTAGTATATAACATATCGCCCATACACGGAGCAGTTGATCTTCTGATCTTCTAAAGGTGTACCGCTAACAGTCTGTAATTCATGGAAACAGAGCATTCCGTTCTCTTTTGAAGTCGTGTTGGAGACATAGACGTAAAATCCAGCAAATCGACCAGCGTATGAACCTGCATGCAAAGATACAAATTGAATATTTCATATATCTTTGATCAAGGGTGTATCTTTTGAACCAATATTAAGGAATATCTTATCGAAATGAGCACCTATCTAATTTAACACATACCAGGTTTATTGTCGGTCCTGTAGAAGATGTTAATGTAACTGATGCTGACCACACTCTCTAGATCTACTCTCCATTCTGCTGTCTGTTGTTTATCAGCTGATATTGTACACTGGTCATCTAGTGCTCCACGGTCTGTATACTTCCCATCAACAGCTTTGTCTGCTCCCCATGGTTCGGTTTGTGTATAGTCATTTGCCTGCCATGCAGGTTTCCTTAATGCTAAATTGTCTATAAAGTATAAAAGACAATAAATCTATTCATTCAATATATTAGAATGCAGTTCATTGCCTGACGTCACGGCGTCAGGCTGTATAAGGATTGACAAGAAAACATTGATGTAACCATCAATTGTTGCCCGGGAAATATATAAAGTAAACAATGAAAATGAGTCTTGATCAACAAACTGCTTCGATATGTGTAGAAAGGCATGCGTCTAATTGATGGAGACGATAGTCGCAAATATTTTTAAAAACTTGTAATCGGATAAAAATCAATCAAAAACGATACCATTTTAAACTTGATCAATTCCTCAAGTAAATGTTGGCTGCATAAAATATAAAATAAAGTTAGACACACGCATCATTTATATTTAAAAATGTATTTATTTTCAATTTTAGAATATAAAACACGAACTGTGCAGAGTACGTTTTTATCCGAGAAGTAAAATTCGATGTTCTAAAAAAAGGGACCTCAGACCTGCCTACCCTTCCGCTTTTGGCGTAATTCTTCCGCTTTTTACCACAAATTTACCCTATTACGCCTTTTATATTAATTTTACCCTTTTGATATTTCGGTTTAAATCCATTAAGAACGTCTACATTTATAGTACGACCTGCTGAAATGAAATGAGAAGTACAAGTAAAAGTAATTAATAGAGGACCAGTTCGATAACTAACGTAATATATCTAGTATTTATATGTAAACCGATATAGCGAAGATTCGGAAGAACACGAGAAGACACTACTTATGTTAACTATTAAATGATATTGCAATAAGTATAAAGAAATGTGAGTGTAAAAAAGGTAAAATACAATGTTATTATGTACGATTTGTGTTAACATGCAGACGCAAGCCTTCAGTTAAGTGATTTGAAACAAATTGACCAAACGCTTCATTAAGGGTGTGCGGTTGATTTGTGTTTGATATAGGATACTGGTATTTTACAACACTTTTTTGCGAATAGATGATTCGAAAAAGAAAAGTTTATGCCAGCTTTGTTTAGTAATATACAATGTCGGTGGTTTTGAAAGAAAATAAAGTATTATAGTAAAACAAGAAAATAGGAAATTATGATTGATTACGCTTTTACCTCTGATATTCCACCAAAACAAATCCTGAAATTACACCCTTGCAACGAAAAGGGTAGGCAGGTCTGGGACCTGTCATTGTTTCAATAGTAAATGATAAATAACTTTATTTATTAAATATGAAAAACATATATATATATTTACAGATAAACTTTATGGAAGTAAATATATTATCTCGTAATTTATAAACGGAAAGAACATTCTGATAAACAATCTTTTCAATGTTTAGAAAACCTTTAATTCTACATAACTACTCCCACCCCAATCCCCATACACCAACACTTAAACTTATATGTATAGAGCAGCCCGGTCCTCCGGCTGCAATAATTGCGTGATCCGAAACTAATAGATCATACCCAGAGAGCTAGATTTTGTGCAAGCTGATTTACATTGGAAATCTTTTACCTGCATTTTAAAAGAAACATTTTTCAGGGAAACAATGATTTTACTGATGCAAAATAATGCAGTATTTACTTTGTTTACTCTGTTTGCATGAAACAGATTATTCCATGTGATTTACCGTTTCAACGTGTTCGTGTATTTTTTTCTGCATTTCAATACTACCGGAACAGTCCATTTATATTCTACGATACAGGTGAATCGCTCTTTTCGCGCCAAATAGTAAGCGATCTTGCGCCTTTTCTTGGATTGTTCTATTGTATGAATGGGGGTGCTAACTTCCACGGAATTAAATAAAGTTTGTTATTGTAACCTCCATCTTCTTATGATTCAGAAATTCTGTCTACAAATTTTATTTTATTCCTTAAAACTACATATGAATCGTATGTATCAGAATATGGACATACAAAGCAAAAGAAATGATTTCTCTAATTTGTTTCCCCTCTGTTGGTTTATTCCAAATTTTAATGGACTAGTCCAATCACCACAAACGATCGACGCAGTTCAACCAGATTCCAGACGATTTGACGAAAGAAATTACCTGTGCGAAATCTTGGATTTCTTTTCCACAAAGGCCTAAATGTTGGTTTTACCTATTTCGTTCTCAAAAAATTATAGTACCCACCTTTCAGAAAAAAAAGATCAATGAACACAAACTACTACTGTTTACTTCATTGGCGAAAATAGCTTCCTACAACATATGTATTTAGTTATATCCATTCTCTAAAAAAGTTCACAATGAATGATTTGACAACAGATTTCAGAATAGGTGTAGCTTTGAATTTAGATCCAGGGGTAGATCAATCTACTTGCAGAAAAGTCAATCGCATCACCTCGGGTCTTTCCGTCAGAGGTCGAAAAACAAACTCGAATGTATCGACATCATTGGATGTTAAAAATTTCTACATTTCCTGTTCATAGTAAAAACGGAGTAAGAAGTCCCTTCTCTAGTATATTTTAGACAATATCATTACATTGAATAAAGTTAACTCCATATTCCACAGATAATAGGTCTATATACATCATCAATGCTTTTATTTCAAAGTTTGTGAAAAGGGGGGGGGTGTCATGGCGTATAAATTAACAATACATTTGTGGTCTTCTTCCCTAGATAAGGCCCGAGGAGCGGGACCGAGGAGTTGCGATTGGTAGAAAACCCACACACATTTGAATGCTCACCCGAGCATTGTGGCCAGGAAAAAGTAGAAATTGGTTTACTACTGAAAAGTTTAAATCCAAAAGTTTGGCCCCGCCCTAGCCCCGGTTGTCATGATTTGAACAAACTTGAATCTACACTACCTGGGGATGCATCCATATAAATATGAGAATTATGGCTTTGCTATTCTTGAGAAGAAGATTTTTAAAGAGTTTCCTATATAATTCTGTATAAAACTTTGGTTGGCCATTGTGGCCCCGCCCTACACCTGGGGGTCATGATTTGAACAAACTTGAATCTACACTACCTGGGGATGCTTCCATATAAATATGAGCAATTATGGCTATGCTGTTCTTGAGAAGAAGATTTTTAAAGAATTTTCCTATATATTTCTATATAAAAATTTGGTCGGCCATTGTGGCCCCGTCTTACCCCCGGGGGACATGATTTGAACAAACTTGATTTAACACACTACCTGAGGATGTTTCCCCTTAAGTTTCATCTTTCCTGCCACAGTGGTTATAGAGAAGAAGATTTTTAAAACATACCACCAAATTTTCACTAATTCTCAATTATCTATCCTTGAATGAGGGTGTGGCCCTTTATTTGAACAAACTTGAATCCTCTTCCTTTAAGGATGCTTTGTGGAAAGTTTGGTTGAAACTGGCCCAGTGGTTCTTGAGAAGAAGTCAAAAATGTGAAAAGATTACAGACAAACGGACAGACAGACGGACGCCAAACAAAATGTGATCAGAAAAGCTCACTTGAGCCTTCGGCTCAGGTGAGCTAAAGAAGTATTGCTAAAAAGGTTTATTTCTTCTCTTACAGATATTGATTGATTATGTCAGGCAAGCTTTTTGAAAAGCTGTTACTTGTATATATTTAATACAGGTACTTGTGGACAGGACCCCCCCCCCCCCCACGATATTCAAACCCGGGGCTTATTGGACTTTTTGTTAAAAAAAATTATATTTATTACACCTATGCATCATGTGTACAATATGAAAAAAATCCTCAACACCTCAAAACAATCACTCCACAAAAATACCCCACTATATATTATAAGAGAGAAAGGTATACCCCTCCGGTTTGTTTCCGTTGTACCCTCACTGATCTCTCTGGGTTTAAAAACATGTATTTATTTTATTTCAACCTTAAATGTCGATTCACATCGTTTCTACATATATTTCTGTCTTAGTGCATGCTATCGGATTAACACTGCATCTCATAAGAATCCCACAATATCTGATTATCTCCTTTAACAGTTTACCAGTCAGAACGTTGAAATTTCCCTAGGTAATCGCAATGGAAGTGCATAGAGAATGTTTCACTTATTAGGATAACGTCCCAGAGAGTTTTGGACTGACGTAAAAATCTCTCTCGGGTTTTATCTTACATTCTCTATGCACTTTCGTTGCTTTTACTTAGGGAAATTTCAAACCGGATTGGCATACCTTTCTCCCATATAATGTACATTTATAGTGGGCTATTTTTTGTGGAGCGATTATTTGGGGTTTTTGCGACTTTTTCATATTGTACACATTATGAATAAGTGTAATAAATATAATTTTTGAAAAAATGTCCAATAAGCTCCGGGGTTGAATATCGTGGGGGCTGGGGGGCTGTCCACAAGTACCTGTGATATTTAATGCACAGATATATGTTTCAACTGCAAACAAAGGTCAACCATCAGTTAATGCAGTTTGAGTTTATAAATTTCTGTCTATATAAGCAATATGAAGTATATGAAGAATTTTGTGTAGCTTTAGTGCGTAGTATAACATACTCCCCCCTCAATTTGTTTTCTTTATGTAAATTTAATCACCTTCTTAAATCAAGAATTGCATATAATAATACCAGGAGGATCAGCTTGTCTTCTCTATGCTATAGTAATGCCACATGCTAGATTTAAGGTAATTTTTTTAAGAATGTTATTTTCTCTATTGCTCTAACTATGGTGTTTATGAAAATGTTTTGAACATAAAGTCAAGCAATAAATAAGCTAGCATAGTTTTATCAGTTATAAGCAAAATTAATAAATTTGAAATTCTTTTTTCTTACGATATGCACAAGTACACGTTGCATACAAGATGACGTAGATAATACTGAGTATCATTCTCTTCAATCTACAAAAATTATAATTAAAGTAATGAAAATGACATATATCAAATTATTTGTTATCAACATACCACTAACAAATAAACTAATATTAATTGCTTTCTTGGAGGTTCCTTGCAGGTGCATCGAGGAAATATGGCTAAAAATATGTCCGACTCAGCATAAACCAACGATAATCTGTCCTTACAGGTCCTATATATCTTTCGACGCATACGGTTGCACAAGTCTTAAGGCTTTATTAGAACCCTTAACTTCAATATTCCTAATATGTCATTGTCTCGTAGTGTTTTGCCGATTTTTAGCAGAACTTTAGCTCTCTGCCTGAGAAAATTCGGACAGTGAAATCAGACAGCTACAGATTCATGCATTGTAAACATTTAAAAAAAACCTTCCAATTACTCCGCCGATTTCTTATCGTTAACTCTAAGTATTATTTCTTGTAGTTTATGCTTTCTTTGGCCTTTAGAATGGTATCCGATACTTTATCATTTATTTAACTCGTATCTTTTATTCTTAATTTACTTTTTAAATTTTTAAAGAGTCCCATTTCGACTTACTGTAACAACATATATCCGTTTGTTACATGTAGCTTTAACAGTAAGTGTAAATTATCGGCGACGTCACAACATGGCCTACTTCCGTTCTGCCTTTCTCAATACTATGAAGCAACTAAATGCTTGTCTTTCTCTTTCAGTCTTTGACTGGAAACTTGATGGTTTTTGCATAATTTCATTTTAAAAACAATACAATACTTCTTTCGATGTCCTTGTTTGACATCAATTTTCAACACTTGTCCAAGTTTGAGAAGAATTAAAGTGAAGTATATAGAAAAATAGTACCAAGGTATCTGTGCCCACTCTTGAAACAGATCTTTCACGCCTGATTTTTTGTGATGTTTAAAAAATTTTTTTCAGATTTTCAATTTCATTCAGTTTCTTTTGATATGCCTGAATTTATTCGGGGCGCATATTGTTTTTTTCTGTCTGTTTGTTGACAACTTTAACCTTCGCCATAACTTTTGAACAGTGAGAGATAGAGACTTCATATTTGGTATGCTTACTCCACGAATAAAGCACTTTCAACTGACACCAAGGTAAATGACCTTGTGACCTTGACTGTGACCTAATGCTAAAAATAGTTTTGTTCGAATTTCGCTATAACTTTTGAACCGTGAGAAATAGAGACTTCATATTTTGTATGCATACTCCACTAATTAAGCACTTTCAACTGACACCAAACACATTGATCGTGTGACCTTGACTAAGACCTATTTGCTAAAAATTGGTTTTTAAAACTTTGTTGCCCCCGGGCGCATAGTGTTTCAAAAACACATCTTGTTTCATCCTTTCAAACGTTTGATACTATATCTATTTTCAGATATTGGAGGAAATCCAACAAGATATTCTCAATAAAGTGCTCTTTTAATTTTTCTTTTGTCTGTTTTTGAATTTTAAATAAAAATAATGTACATTTTACTTATAACTTTCTTGGTTTCTTTTCAATATGTTTATAACATAAAACTTTGAATGGAAATTTAAAGTACTTAGCTCTTAAAAATATAGAATTAAGGGTCTTTATTAAAATCATTTAATTATTTTAAAAAATTCCAAAAAGATAAAGTGAAATACTTTGGAATCTTATTACATCGAATATTGAGTCCAGTATTAGAAACAAATGCATGCACCAAAAATCAATTATACTTCACAGGTGTAGAGATCCTCCTTAAATGTATGATTAACTATTAGATATAATTTTTTTTTTAGCTTGGAAAAGTAGCACTTTGCTTTATCTGACCGAATTTTCTCAAGCAGAGAGCTACAGTTCTGCGTTCGCTTTGTGATCGGGAGGCTAGTGTTTGTTTGTTTCCTGTAAGCAGCTCTTCTTTGAACCTTATACTGTCGGAGGGGGTGCACCGGGCTGTTTGTGGAGAAGGTCATAAATCTTTTGGATTAGACTTTAAAAGAATCTTTTTGGCTCACTGGTCCAGAGTAGTTAAAGTGTAAATCTGATTCCTTCACCAATAAATGGTGTCGTTTCGTATAATTTAGAAACTGTTACATGTAAACTAGATGTAAACAACATATAACCAACCAAATAGTTGTTAGTAAATATACAAGTATAGTCTTACCACAGTAATTTTAATTTTACACAATATGGAGTCTATCTTTATTTTTTCCGTTTTTCCATTGTCATTAACACACATGTAAAACGCAGATAAAAGCTTAAACTTGAACAGTGACTTTGTGTAAACAGTTTAACGCTTGCATTGAAATAAAATATGAACATTTTAACGTCAATTTAAAAGTCCCGAATATAGCACTGCATGTTGGAAAAAAGAAAAAAAAGATTTGAAACTCGATAAACTGTATATTTTTTTTTAATCTGAATTTTACAACAATAAACCAACACCATTAATTTAAACAAATGCATGTTAATCTTACCGTAGAATGCATACATCTCGTCGGCAGGGGGTCACCAATAAATAGATTTCAGTTTTTGACAAGTTTTAAACCAGGAAGTTATTTGACTGTAGGTATAATTTTACATCTTAACGTCTTCATACAAATGTCTCTCCAAGGCTGAGCGCTTGACTGCTTCTAATTTAAAGAGAACCGATTAAGGGTTATTTGAGTAACTTTAAAAATTATGATGGAGAAAATTTTAAGTCAACTGCATTTAGGTCAACACAGTTAATACTGTAATTTCAACCCCCTGTAAGACATGTAAATCTGTGAGTAATACATGTAAGGGAAAACACAGACTGATTATTATTCATATTTATTTCACAAAAACTAATTGCAAACGCGTATTTTTTGGAAGCCGTTTTAAATTTAAAAAAAATTGCTTGAGTAAATATTGGTGAACATTTAGGGGTGTTACGTAATTTATATGAGGAAGTAGTTAGGATGCGAAAGAATACACGATTGATATTTTAGACAGTACTTGTAAATCACAATCAATTGTTATTTCGTTAACCTACAGGTAAAATGTATGAAAGTTAAAGTTTTAAAAGTTCAAGTGTTAGAGGAATATAAAAAAAAATTGTAAGGTTGTCTATGTTTTTAAACAATTGTTTAGTCACCTGAAGGAATTGTGTGATTCGATAACGTGCAGAAAGAAAATAAATCTTATTTTTACAATTGCAACACATATATCAAACAGCTAAAGTAGTTTTCAATTTCTTGTTTTATTCGGAATGAGTAACCAGATCAGAGTGTACTTTGCATGATAAGCGATATTCACAGGGAACAAAGTCGCACATTAAATTTTTTCTATACCTACGATGATACACATATGCGTTTAATACAAATTAACTTGTGATAAAAAATAATTTGCTTAAGAGAGTCATGGGAAAATAAACTTTACAAATTAAAAGATACGCTGTTATAATGGCTGAATTCGGTCCCTTATATTTTTAAAAATGAAAACACAGCTAAAACCGTGGCATTCCTTTTTTCAATATCTTTTGTTTGTTTTAAAAACCTGCAAATATATTGATTTAAAGAGTCAGGGGTTCACAAGAGGGTGCCAATTTGAATATCCTTTCGATTTTTCTCGATTGTAGCAGAATATCGTCATATTTTGGATACTTTTCACTGCGGGAAACATAAAGTACTAGCTTGCCTATCTAAGATTTAATTGATAAGTATCTGATAAAAAAAAAAGTGCGGAAAACCATAAGGGGCAAACTAACTCAGACCGAATGACAGCGGGACAGACAATATTAATCGGACGGGCAGACGCGAAGGAAATCCTTAGTTTCCTCCGCATTCTCTTGTAGGGGACTACATATGTAACAAAAGCAATTGTCACATCCAGGAATAGTTCCATCTACCACAAATAAAAATTGCACAACTTCAATTCGACAAGGCAAGAATTTCATGCTTCACGATACATTCTTGCTACAGCAATTGTATGCAGGACACCAATTTTCGACAAAATATACACGCAAGTTTGTCAATGTGCATTGTTAAATCTTATTTATACTTCCCTATATAATTCTTAAATTTATCTTTACAATACCTTAAGCCTTTTATGATATTCCCATTGTTGCGAAAATACACATACTTTCACAAAAAACCAAACAGGGTTAATTTAAATCGAAGATAACAGAAGGAAGTGAAAAAACTTGAAATAAAATAAAGTGCAGAAATGTACGCGGAAGTAAAGAAAACAGAAAGATATAAATTCTGATATCAGAATGTAACAAAAACTAATTTAAGATAGTGAAATTTTAAAGGAAACATGATATTTTTGAACTTTTAGTAGGAAGCCAGTAATTTGACATTGCTATTGACATTCTGTCTTGTTAAATGTGAATTCAGGGCAAATCATTGAGGGAGTTGATTATATTTACATACATATTTGTGTGTTAAAATCTCTTTATTAGAATTTTTCATATAAATATATTTTCAATATCAGAAGTTTATTAACAAAACAACAAGTTGTCCTTTCTCGAGACAATTTATTTTAGTTACTGTATAACAACATTCTCAACTGCAAAAATAATGTTTGGAAACAAATACCTCGAGAGGGAAATTAAAATACAAATTTATGTCCTTGTTACAGCTTACCAATATACTCTTGAATAATATTATGTCCAATTCATTTTATAGTAAAAAAAAATTCCTACCAACCGGGCTTGCTGTGCATTTGAGAAATAAACTAAATCTAATTATACAAATGGGGTAACGTCGTTGAAATGAGTAGGATAAGGTACAATATAACCTCTATTTGGTAATTAGTATTATGAAACAGTTTTCTACCTTAATGTTAATCTAGCAAATCATTGATACATATACGGTTCAAAAATCCAGATACAAAGAAAATATCTTGATGCCTTGGTTGATATATAAAATTATTTTTAACTTATTTTGGTTTAAAATAATGAAACTCAAATGTCTAAAATATTTAGAATATTTAAACTTTAAATGATGTTCAAAATCAAACCTTTTTGCAATTATAAACCATCCTTCTTTATCTATTTTTTTTTTTTTTTTTTTTTTTTTGGTCAAATAGAAAAAAATCCCATTTCTGTGAAACATTGAATGAAAATTTAAAATCAGTGAGGTTTAACTTATTCATTTTACTGAAATACTAGTAAATAAAATTCAGGTTGTTATTTTTCGGATTTTTGTGCTATTTTGTTTGTATCCGTTGTCCTTTATGCGAGTATAATTCCAATCTTCATTTTATCTATTGATTTCCTGTGTTTTGATTGGACGAGAACACGTTTAAGAAAAATTTTACACATCGATAAATTCTTTTTCAATCAGAACTACTTTCTTGAACTAGCTTCTACATGTAGGTTATCGTGTAAACAATGAAAGCATCATATCTGGTCTGTTTTGGCTAAATTATGAATACAAAAAACTTCAAATTTAATTAATAAAAACAAAACTGGCGACATATTAGACTGCCCAGCTGACGGACGCCAAAATGTTTATGTCACTGTCCGATCACGAGTGTGAAGTTTAAAAATCGCTGTCTAAACGTTCATAATCTGATATAATGCGAAGAAAATCAGCTCAGTTTGTATCGTTTTGACAGGGAAAAGAAACGTACCTCAAACTCTTGTATCAAATTCATATTTACTTTCTATATTTTCCCTCAATCTTTGAACAAACAAGTAGGCTATCGAATCGTCGTCGGTCTGCAACTTTCGCTATGACGGATGTCATTTATGTCAACATGGCCATGGTCAAGGACGAACTATTCTGAAGTAAACTCGTATATGTTGACTTAAACAACATTCGATAAGTCTTTTATAAGTTTATTTATCGATTGTTTTGACAATTTAAGCTGAACTCTATCGAAATTCATCTCGATTATGTTCCTTTGCGGTAAAATGTATTCCTACGCCGTCCAGAAATAACGGATTGTATGGAGGCCTCAAAGAGAAATAATTTAAATATTTTTAAATATTCGATATTGGAATTATAAGAATTAAACGTTCTTTTTGAAAAATTTATCGATGGGTAAACTCTTGACATTTTACTCACAAACTTAACATAAAAGTGCTTCGCACTTTTATTTAGTTTGTGAGTAAAATGTCAAGAGTTTACACATCGATAAATTTTTCAAAAAGAACGTTTAATCCTATAATAAAAAGACACATACTCTTCCGCATCCGGTATTAAAGTTATGCATCGATTATAAGACTGTAGTATTCTGTTGTCTATCAAAATTAATTTTGATTTTTTTTAAAGAACGTTCGCATATTTAACATAATTTTTTCTTTTTTTTTTTTAAAGATTTTTGTTCAATGATTTTTTGGATTGTTTACGTTTTAATATAAATATGATGTGTTGTATTGTAGAATTCAAGTGTATATAAAATCAAACGTCATCATACAAGAAAAAACAAGATGTGTCTGTAAAACACTGATGCCCCCGTATTGCAACATAGCAAAGATTAAGCTTTTCTTAAATGCAAAAAACTATATGCGGTATATTGCATATACTTGCCCCCACAGAAGTCAAATTTTGAAAACTTCCTGAAATGTGCTGAATTCAATAAATTGTACGAGAAATATAAATTTACAGAACATATTATAGTTTCAAAGCAGTGTATTCACAATTTTTGTTTTTATGACGTCACAAACTAGTCCGATTTCATATCCTTTTTCAGAAAGAGGACAAAATGGACAAATTTTCAACAATTTTAGCTTTAAAATTTATAGAGCGCAAGTTTGTACAGGAACAATATTTACATATTTCATTGATATTATCATTCTACACATTATATCAAAATATTGATCCTGAACACACATGCGCTCGGTGACTTTTACTCAAAATATTGACGAAATAAATACCTTTTTCTGTAGAATTTATAAAAAACTGAAATTTACGTCATGTTTGTGACGTCATTACGTACATATGGCGTCATTACTTATGAAAATATTCAGTGCTTTGAAGTCAGCATATACTCCCCTGTTTAAGATCTTAATTAAATATACCTCCATCAAAGTTTGATTTGGGGGGCAAATATTGGTTATTACCAAATAAAGTTCTTTAATTAATTGGTACCAAAAGTAGGGTATTCTCACTGGAAAACAATTGTGAAATTTGAAAGTAAGCTAATGTTAAAGTGTTTTAATAATTACAAAATTCTCCAAGGTCAATGTCAAAAGGTCAATGTAATTAGTATGAAATGAAAGGTCTTGTCACACAAAATACTTTTATAGAGCATGAAAGCCCTAGCCCTAGAAGGTATGGTCAACGTTCAATTTCTTAAATTCAAACTCAAACTCCAAGGTCAAAGGGTCAAAGTTATTGCTATCAAATGAAAGGTCTTGTCATAATGATCAAATATGTAAAGAATAAAAGCACTAGCCTTAACTCTTTAAAAGTTATGGTCAAGATTTGCTTTTTTAAAGTAGGTCAATCTCAAAGGTCAAGGTCAGAGGGTCAAAGTTCTTGGTATCCAATGAAGTGTTTTCTCACAAGAATTACATGTATGAAGTATGAAAGCCCTATCCCTTACCGTTCAAAAGTTATGGCCAAGGTTAAAGTTTTTACACAAGTAAGGAAATCTACAAGGTCAAGGTCAAAGGGTCAAAGTTGTTGGTATCCAGTGAAAGGTCTTTTAACAAACATTATATATGTGAAGTATAAATGTCCTGGTGTCTACTGTTTGAAAGATATGGCCAAAGTAAAATTTTAAAATTTTCATATAAAAGTGGGTCAAACTCCAAGGTCAAGGTCAAAAGGTCAAATTTGGTGGTACACAGAAAAAGGTCTTGTCATAAGAATCAAATGTGTAAAGTATGAAAGCACTGGCCCTAACTCTTCAAATTTATAGACAAGGTTTGCTTTTTTTAAAGTTGGTCAATCTCAAAGGTCAAGGTCAAAAGATCAAAGTTTTTGGTATCCAATGAAGGGTTTTTTCACAAGGATTACATGTATGAAGTATTAAAGTCCTATCCTTTACCGTTCAAAAGTTATGGCCAAGGTTAAAGTTTTTTCACAAGTAGGGAAATCTACAAGGTCAAAGGGTCAAGGTTGTTGGTATCCAGTGAAAGGTCTTTTAACAAACATTACATATGTGAAGTATAAATGTCCTGGTGTTTACTGTTCAAATGATATGGCCAAAGTAAAATTTTAAAATTTTCATGTAAAAGTGGGTCAAACTCCAAGGTCGAGGTCAAAAGGTCAAAAGGTCAAATTTGGTGGTACCCAAAGAAAGGTCTTGTCACAAGGATTACACATATGAAATATGAAAGTCATATCTCCACTTAATCAAAAGTTATGGGCAAGGTTAAAGAGTTTGCGGACAAACAGAAAAACAGAGAAACAGAGAGACAGACAGACAGACACGACAAAAATTATATACCCCCGAAACTTCGTTTACGGGGGCATAAAAAGAGAGATAAATACCCGCGCAAGCGCGGGAAACTGAATTTATGCAAAGGATCATTTGCAGCAGAAAATTAAATATATTGTAGTTGTAAATTGTAGATTTTACTGACAGACTACAGACTTATAGAGGGAAGAAATACTTTGTTCAAAAGTCCCCATGAAGTAAATGTACGTCACCATCCCCACCCACTTTTTGTGAAAACTTGAAAAATAAAAAAATCTTTAATTGATGTTTATATGTTCAAAACTTCATAAAATGTTATGGATATTGCACTTAAGATTTTCTTATTTCATTTTCATGAAGGATAAAAACAACGAATATACATTATTTACAAATAAATTAATTTTGGGAGGCTTGGGGAGAGAGGTAAAAATTCACAGGTACTTGGGTCTTGGTTTATAATTATATATGTACCCTCTTCGATAAGTAAATTTTTCTTTCTTTACATATAAATAAGGTACATGTACATATTCTTAAACCCCAAAACCCAAGTACCCGTTTAAAAATTAGCCCCCATCCCCACATTTTATGAAATAAATAATCGATTGTTTGTTGTCAGTTTCATTAAAATTTGCCACTAACTTAGATCCGCCAACCGGAAACGCCACAATACTCACGTTGATGCTATTTCATGGCTGTTTTCCGGAAATTGAAGCAGATGTTTAATTTTATGTACGATACTTACTGTCCGATTGAAATCTAAATATAGTTTACGGACATCATCTTGTATGTAGTGTAATATTAGAGGGGTAAGTAAGAACTCTTGTGCACCCGTTTCGGAGTTTATTT